ACTTTCCAACATCCCATCACTGAGCTTACACTCCTGCCTGCCATAACATGGGTCTGTTTCTTTAATAAAGGGAGTRCAGCAAGTCTCAAACAACAGAAAACTTGCACAAAATCACTGCTGATTGCACCAGGCCCCAGAACAATCCTGCTCTCCCACACACCAGCTCAAGATTGCTCAGCTTGAGTAAGGGCTCTAGACCATAGTGACACCAATAGAGGTGTGCTTCATGGATGGTGCTGGTGGCAGCCCAAAAGTTGAGCAGACCCCAGTGGTACTGGCCAGCATCCTGCACACTAGCTGGGATGCTAATCTGGGTGCTGCTGAAAGACGTGTGTTTTTATTACTTTACCCCTACATCATGATAGATTGCAAGCTGAACAATCCTTGGGCAATTTTCTCATTTTTAGYAAAAGATAATCAATCTTACCACTTCTGGGGGGACGGGGTTCCTGTTTGTGCTATCAGTTTAAGAAATGAGACACACCCCTAAGTCTTCCAGGAATCAAAAGTCACTGCTTCCTCATTTGCTGTACTCTATGACAACAGCAAAAACATCATACTTCTCAGTGAAAAATCACAGCCAGCCAGGCTGGTATCCTTTATTTGCAGACTGCTCAGTGGATCTAGATTTTTAACAGATTATCCAGTTTCCAGGATAGTCCTAGAAAGTAGAGGAAAGCCCATCAGGACACCCTAGAGAGGAGCTGCAATGAGTCTCTACAAAAGGCCAGCCAGTCTAGCACAGCTGCTTGAGGTCAACAGGACACCAGAGGTTTTGAAGCAGCAGCAGCTTTAGAGAGTTACATCAATCACCACCYCAGTCACTMTCCATCACAAATGCAGCTTTCTTTRTATCACCAACTCTGTTTTCTTGTTTGAAAGTGGTTTCAGCCATACAGAGGTGGCCAGCTTGTAAGAAATCACAAAATTAATAATAATACTAAAAAAATAGTATCATACTACCCTCTCAAACCTGCTGTTCCAATCCCTTTGCAAATCCGCCTTTCCTCTCTTCAGCTCCATACTGTAATTTGTTTTCTGTTCCCTACATATCTAAAATGGTAGTTAGGACACGTTCTGGCTGGCTGACATCTTAATAAATGCCCTGAGACTGCTGCTAGGTGACAACCACCATGTAAGCTTAATCTGACTGATTATGGGCAAAAAAATAACAAATGGAACACTTTTTGTAGCTAAAAAATTAATTCTACAGCCACCAGCAAATACCTGGCTTGCATGCTTTGCTGCTAGTGTTCTACGAAGAGATGCARAAAATTTATCTTTTGCCTCTTCTGTGATCATTCTCCTTTCCCTGCTTTTTATACATTGCTTGGGTTACTTTCCTGCAAATATTTTACTGTCACRTGTAGGATTTGCATTAAAAAAACAAAACACACAAGACAATTTATATTCAAATGAGAACAGGGAAGAGAATCAAAATAAAAATATTCCCAAAATAAATACACGGATTGTTTAAACTAGACCATGTGCTTGCTTTCCATTTGTTTCAGCCTTGTTTGTGCTTGTTTAACACATTTTCAGATCTGGTTACTCTACAAGCACAGTCCAACACAAACGTGGATATCAAAGAAGGAGAAAAAGGCATGTAGGAACTGCAATAATTTGAAAATGACCAGMTTTCATGTCGTAAGTGCTAAAAAACCAGCACAGCTAATTAGCWGTTTGTCAGTGCCAGAAGTCAGCCATGTCTCAGGGATGCCACGCCAGCTGGGAATGTGACCAATGCCACAGAAGGCACATGTGGAGGCAGGAGAGCCTGGCTCCCAGGGATACCTGCCTCYAGATGCCCTGGTTCCAGCTCCCAGCCCTGCTGTGTGCCAAGGCCAGTGTGCTCACTGCTTTTTGTGCAAACRCTGCTGGTTGCCAATTCCTGTCTTGCACTTCACAGAACGCAAGGCTGGGGCAAGGGGGTGACCTCTGCAAYGAACTGAATCAAAATGTACCCTTCTCCCTTCACACACCTCACCAATCACKCTTAAATAATAATAAAAGGAAGTTTTTATACATGTTGAATCCAAATGCAAATAATTCACCAAGATTAGAGAATAGTTCACTGACACACAGATGGGAAATTCCTGGGCGCCTTTCTCCTAGCATAAAACAAACAGATAAAATAGAAACACTAATAGAATTCCTGCTAAATTACTATTGCTTTTAATAACTGAAAGTTTCAATTTTTGATACAAAGCAGCAACAAAGCCAAAAGAGTTTAGTGGCACAGTACAACCYACTGCAGTTACCACTAACTCCACACAAGCCACTTTCACATCCTCAATCCACACTGCTATTCAATTTCTATTTAATTAGACTTGCATTCTTTTCTTGGAGATACCACGGTGCTGTGCTCAAGACTGAAGGATGTTCTGAAAARCTTGCTGGTAATTAAGCAGACTGGACAGCACCCTGCCTCCAGTATTTTCAAACAGATTTCTTGTGTCACCAGGCCGGCTCCCCTACCAGACTTTCACCCCCACCCCCATATTCCCAAATTCAATGTTACAGATTACCCCTACACATATCTGTCAGCGTGAAAAAATGTGTCAGCAGAATAACTTTATCTGCTAAACTTGCTTGCCAAGGGCTGCCACATCCTGGATTGCTTCCCATAATCTTAAAACAGCTGAACAGCAGACTTGGAGTCCTCTGTGAAACCTCATAGTATCAAAGTCTGCTACAGAATTTAGGGAGTGAATTTCCCATGATTTTGCTTTTTTTTGGATGTCACTCTCTGTTTGCAATGGTTCATTRGTTTTAAGTAACAAAATATTCACTATGTTTGAATCAAAACATCCTGAGCCCAAAGGCTGGCACAACTCCATTCAGGTATGCAAGTGAACCTTCAATTCTTCCTTAACAAAAATGGCAACACAAGCTTTCAGAACATATTTACCTCCAGCTGACCGCTGCATAGAAATTAGGGATTCCATGGTTAGCTAATTTGGGAGAAAAGAATGTTTTTGCTGAACTATAAGCTAGCATGGGTATTATCACAAAAAAAAAAAAAAAAAAAATCTCTGTAGGAAGTTGCAGGGACTGAAAAACAGCACACATACTGGAATCTTCTGTTCTTAAGGACATAGCAGAACAACAATCCTATCATGTTTGTGGAGCTACCATTCAGTGACACCTTCTTCATGGGAAGAAAATACGTATGGGAGGAGTGAAATCTAAAGGAATGGTTTRCATATCCCACATTCTGGCTCTTCTAAAGAATATTGCACAACCAACGTTCACACCACCTTGATAAAGCCTAAGATTTTAATTGCAGTGCAAGCATTTATTCTGCTAGGGAGAAAAAAAAAACAAAACAGAAAGACTAATTCCTTGTARATTTGCAATTACATTTCCCTTCATTGCCTAAATCCAGTACTGATGCAAACCACCTGGTTCAGGCACAGCAGTTACACTGGCATRCTCAGCTACTGCACTGGCCAGGAACAGTCAGACATCCAAGGATTTCTTTTTGCTTTATCTACTTTATTAAACATCAAGCATGTCAAGAAGTTAACCCCGTCAAATTCTTATAGTTACTGACTGTAGTAAAGATATGAACACAAAGGGACCTTTCAGCCCACTTTGACAGCAGTGCCTTGCCATCGAGCTCATCACCTTACTCATTCCTGGGGGTAGGGAAGATGCCACAGGAACTTCAGAGCATTGTGCTAAAAGACTTCCCACCCATCTCTCTGTGTTTCCAAGCCTTTCATCACTAACAGGAGTTTCATGCATTCCATCCTCTCACTGTAATGCAGACACTCAGCTTCAGAAAGATGACTGGTTCTAGCAATTCTCACCAAGTGTCTCTCTCAAGTGAGCGGTAGTGTTTGAAATGCAGATGGGATGTACAAATCAATTCCTTAGCATCTGGAAGCTGATTTTTCTGCCTGATAAGTCAAAAATCATGACACAAACCCTAAAACCACTATGAAATGATCTGCCGTAATATTATCCATATCAAAGTAAATTTATCAGTTGTATTTCTCTTTCTGAGATAAGCAGTATTTGCAATAACTGCAAATACTTCAAAAGTAATTTTGGCTTTAGCAAAGTTTCCTTTATTATTCAAAATACAAACACCAACAGTCTAGAAATTTATCACAGTCAGAAACAAAGCCTTTCTCCACATTTATCCCCTTCCTTTAGTTTGACTGGGATTTTGAGGAGAAATGGAGACGCTGCTAACTGGGAATCTAGTGAAATATTGAAAAAGCAAACAGCTCCATCTAAAAGTTAAAGTTAAATACATGCAAAGTCAAGTTAAATAGACAGATATGTGCAAGAAGCATTTCTTTTTATTCTCCTTTCTTCCACAGATTTCTTTGTAAAGTGTCTGGGAAGTAAAGCAGCTTTTCCCTGCTGCTCTCTGGCTCCTGTGCCCTACTGATAACAACTCAAATGAGAGGTTTTTGATTACTTCACCAACTCCACTTCAACTAAYCAAGGAGAGGGAACAACCACTTCACCAGACCTGGAAAACAAGTATTACAGGGCTTACACTGTAATGAGGGAAAATGCAGCTGGACACATCTAAGGGCCAGGACTGCAAGGTGTGGAATGTACAGTGGGATTTATRAGTATTTTGAGTACTAAAGCAGCTACAAGTCATAGCTACTGAAATTAGCACAGGTATGAAGAAGCAGATAARCTCTCCTAGTCTGACTTTTTTTCCTGAAAGGATTCTAAACAGAGTTCTTAATCTCTGCGGGTACAAATGGAGCAGAGAAACTGCTGTATGATGCACTGATTAACAAAATGCCAAATGAAGAGAAATTGGAAGTACAAAATCTAGCTCTTAGTGCCAAAAGGATTGCAAAAGAGGAACCATTATACAGATGCATCTTCCCCTAAGCAGGAGGAGAATAAAGGACAGATGTCAGATTTCAAGCTCAAGGCTTTAGAGCACAGAAATGGCTGTTATTAATGATTCAAACAAAAATCTCAGGACATGCTATGTCAAGAGGAATTTCTAAGCAGCTTACCTCAACGGACCATAATTCAACATGATAAAGGCCAGTATCACCATCACACACAGAGTCCTTCTCTTTGGAGATGACACTTTGAGCTTCTGGTTCTAGACAGAAAAAACAGAAGACACTGTAAAAAAGAGGGGCACAGATATGCAGAGGTGTGTCACAAGCTAAATACACCAAATTATGCTTGCTTTTTAGATTTTTGTTTGCCTAATTATGCATGAATATATTCCCAAACTACTCAAAAACAAAACCTTGGTTTATACATTATATTCAGCTTCTGTCCAGTGAACTCTTCAGAATCACCATGAAGTAAAGAACTAAAAGTCTACCAGATAATGTGTCAGCTGTCCTGCCCTAGAGTTGGTGAAAGTCATGCTTGGAATGGGATGCTGGGCTAGAAACCAAGGTCTTCCAGCTGACACTTCTCCAAGGTCTTCCAGCTGACACTTCCACAATTCTATTCTAGCACCTTCCGCCTGAACAATTATCTCCACATAAAACCAATTTTCATCACAGTCTTACCTCTAATACCACTTCATCCAGCTGCCTCTTCAGYGTGCTGTTTTCTTTCTTGAGTTTCTCATTCTCCAGCAAGGCTGCCTCCAGCCTGGCCTCCAGTCCCAACATGTATTCCTTCTTTTTCTTGCGTGACTGAAAGGCTGACTCACGGTTTTTGATCATGCGCTGCTGCCGCCTCAAGACATTGACCTGGACAGACAACACACAGTGTTGTGTTAACAATCCACAAGTTAAAAGTGCCTCCTTTTCACGCAGAATTTCTTTGCCAAAGTCTGCACAGATTGTTTTTCACATTCTGCTTCCAATGAGCTGAAACGGTCAGCACAGAGGCACCTCTGGATCATGGTACAGCTCTCAGTCATAGCTCATAGATAAGAGAAAAACAGGCCCTGCACTGTCTTGGTTTTCTCCTGCATTCTCAACTTTCTATATGTGGAAGCATATGTTTTGTATTCATATCCTTGAGCAGCAGTTTGATTTGATCAATCAAATCACAAAGACAGAAAACACTTATATTCAGGTCAACAAGGCAGCAAGAATGCCTTTCACYTTCATTTTACCATGCACCATTTCACAGGCTACTATCAGTCATCTGCTTTCCTTACAGGAAATTTCTAGGGTTTTCCAGTTTGTTCTGTATGGAAGCCATTTCCACACTGATTACACCTGCTTATGCACCTTTTCCAGCTACGCTATGGAGTTTTTGAATAGTGCTGGAGATTTTATATTGCATATTCTGTGTGTGTCAAGCACTTAAAAGGCAGTTTAAATGCAGTCTCTGGGTGCATCTACMCTACCATTTTAATTAACATCAGGAGTGTGGCTTGAATTCACATTTCCTGATTGTCCCACTCAATATGCTTTGGTTCACTTCACAGAACAGTYTCTGAGAGCACACAAACTGGATTCCTTTGGGATGAAGCTCAACCAGCAAACATATTCCAGGAGAGCACATAATTCATTCTAACCACTAGCAGGCATTCAGTCTGCAASACCAGACTGGGACATCTCCATCCTCCCCATCCTCCAGCAGTCCTGATGACTGATTTTTTTCCCAAGCAGGAACACGCCACCATCTTTTACCACTTACTCATTTTGYGGTTTGCACTGAGTGGGACGACCCAGACCAAAAGCATCTTGCTGCTGACAAGGATAACTATGATGGATACTGCAGAACTAYACAAAACTACTTGAAATCCCAAGTTTAAACACTAGCCTGTTGATTTCCTTTCCCTCACTGATTAGCAACTCTGTTTTCTTTAAGAACAGAAGACTTCCATCACATTATTAAGTTACAACTAGATGTGCCTTAAGGACAATTACAATGACAGATAACTGAAAGCTGTTATCTTACACAGACCTGAATATCCTTCAGTACCTACCACCACATGCACTGGTGTAACCTGTAACTCTCACAGCAGGAACATTAAAGAAAAAAGATGAGAACTATTCCAGAAGTACTACTGGGAAAAAAAACCCACAGAATAGTAACATTAATTAATTCAGATCTGAGTGCTCAGGTTTATATCCAGCTGTGTAAGCACAGCTTTCCAACTCTCTCCTTGTGTCTACCTGCACACACGCAGTATGTTCCCTTAGGGCACTGGTGTCTGCAAACAAAARGTGCCCAAAGTGCCCACAAGCTGTTTGAACACAACATTCTTCTTCATAATGCTGCAGTATGGTGACAAAGACTAAGAAAACATATTACAGTGCATTAACATTCTGGGCTGCGTCCATGTCRGTCTAATTGCTTTTTATAAAGCATATCATTTATTATATGTCTAGTCTGCTGCCACCAACAAAAGTCTGTGAAAGTGAAGCTGTTTGTACTTACTCCAGTTTCTCTCTTTAGCAGGGAATGGAGAAGGAAAAGATTTTAACATATTTTCATTAACACTAAGCTTTGTCTTGAATTTTTTAAGTACTACAACATTCAACACAAAAAAGCTTCTGCAGACATATAAAAAACGGACCAAAAAAAAGATTCAGGCTAGCCAAGAACTGCAGTGTATAGAACACACTTATTTGGGGCCAGGATCACTTAAAMTGTTCAGAGATGAAAAAATAAGGAATGAGTTCATGCAGCAGCTTTGGCTTAAGTTGTCTGCTATTCCAAACAAGGAGTTCCACTCCCCTTTTCAAAAAGAGGTTTTGTATCATGAAGCCAAAGAGAGAAGACCAAATTGTTTACATCCATTCTTGTTTGCAGACCTTTCTAGGATTATTCATTACTGGATAGCTTTTAATTACATGTCTGGAACCTCTGCCAAATCTGCAYGCTTCCATGAAGAAAAGATGGTTTYAGAGCACCAGTGGAGTGCCTGYACATTAAGAGTACATCCTAAGGTGATGATTCAGACATGGCCATCTGCATTTTATGTGGCATTTATCTAGACTGCCCTCCTCACAGTTCTACAAATGCCATGAGGAACAGCAGCACTCCCCAGCCCAATTCAAGGTATTCTGTGCAATCCCTGCATTTCAGTCAATGACACACCTGTTACATCTTGTCTCATCTTTTAAGCTTGCTTAAAATCCAGTATTTGTGTCCTTGAGTTATTTTAATTTACAGTCCCTAAAATAACTTAAGATCCTCGGTCAACCCTCCACCCTGCCTGGCTTTTCTTGGGGAATATGCCACAACTGCACCCTTGATCCACCTAAATCTGAYGCAGGAAATGGAAAGAGTTGTGTGAGTGAACTGGTGCAAGAATGCTGGACCTGGAAGCAGCATGACAATCAGCATTACACAGCTGGCCTGGCATCAAGATAAACATGCCCTCTGCTCAAGCACTTTGGTAATCAGGAGAGAAAGGAACTCATTTATAATGTCAGTCTGCTTAAGCAACACTGCTTTGCACAAGTGCTGAACCAAGATTAAACAGAGCAAACACCTCTGCTAACTTCTTTTGCAGTCTCCAACTTTATAAGTTGTATTGATTTTCCACTCAAGATAGCCACTTCTGGTTCTAAGAAACACAGACCATAGAGGGAAGACTTTGGCTTTCAAAACAATCAGTAATCAGTGATGCAACTTCTGCTTTCCACCGCTGAAAACTATACCACCACACACAAAAATGCTGTAAATATGGGGAACTGGAAGGTTCATTGCAAACCCTTTCTTCAAACAACACTAGACTCAGATTGTCCTCTGTCTTCAGAGRTTTCATAAAGAGTCATGCACTTTACAAATAAACACTGCTACCTCAATTTACTTCCAAAGAAAATTCTGAGCAAAATTTAATCTCCATTCCAACAYAAGCTGTACTTCCAGAAGTAAAAATGCCTCTCATGCTCCAGAGAGTATTTTGTACACATGCTGGGAAAGTTAACAAAGAGCTGAAAGCACAAACCATTCAACTTTGCATTGGCTGGCTTCTTACCTCAGCTTATGAAAGCTGCTGTCTTTGAAGATGCATCTTTAATGCAGGAAGACAAAACATATGCAACGTTTTTTTGTTCTTATGGAAGTGCTGGGTTTTTTGTCCCTAACTCAACAGAACACAACTTGCCTAATAAGTTTATTTTATATTAATATTACACAATGTACAGCACAGAAAAGAGAATTCTTCAACAGAAATCCACACTTCTGCTGAAGTAATTTTGCATAATTAATCTTTTCTAGATTTTCAGTTTTCTGGCACTTCTCCATGGCTGGAAAGCTTCACACAATGTGTGCCACCAGGACACACAGGGCCTCATGCCTACAGCTTGCCATCAGCCCATCTCAGTGTAATCCACTGGAAGTCTGAGTGCTAAGCTAACARTTTATCCCTCCTAACCCCAAAAGAAAGTCCTGCAGTGTTTCTTTTTATCCTGCAACATCTGCTTAGATTAGCAAACAAAAACACGTGTTACAGAGCTCAAATGACAGCTCCATCTGTGCAGCTCTGAGCTCCACATATGGTGTCCAAAGCAGCCGAGAGATGGTTTAACCCTGCTGGCACCAGCTGAATCCCAAAACATTTGTTCTTACTCAAGGCACTTCTTCACAGTGCCAAAGAGCAATTGCAACTGTTTCTTCATGTTTTAACAAACACAGGTAAAATGTGCAGCATTTCACAAGCCCTAAAACTGCCCTTTTTTGGGTGGAAATACCCACACAACCATCCTTCAAAACAAACACCTGTTTGTTACCCCAGCTACACATTTGAATACTGAAGACATGGATGTGTACATGGAGWATGATGACAATAAGGGAGTTTTGTCAATTAAATTTTACATTCAGGCACTRGCAAGGTGCCATGCTAGCCCTGCTCACAGGGAATCACAAATCCAATCACTGCTGGCAGGTCTCTAGAGTTAACTTTGCATGACAGGGAATTACCATTTAAAAATGTAGCACATTTAACTGCTCTGCCTACTGACAGACCTTTGTTCGCTGCTTGTACATTGAATATCAGGTTTCCACTGTAGTCTGGCTGCTGAGCTATTTGTAGCACAACATTTTCATTATAGCCCACACATAAATATGATTAGTGAGGAGAATTTAACATCAAGCATGACAATTCCCAGACACCAGGAAACCATACAGCAACATCCCTCCAAAGATGAAGGAATAGGCTTCCCAGTGCTTTTGGGACACAGGGCCCTGCACTGGTAGCAGGTCACTGTACAGCAAAATTCCATGTGTTTTTCTCCCTTACACTGAGATGTTATGGGACCCTCAGCTCCCAAATGTGCTTGGAATCCCATACTGGACAACAACACTCAGAGYTTTAAAGTCATACACAAGAAGCTTTGGTCCTTTCCACAAGCAGGTCTTCTCTCTGGACAGCAAAATGCAATCAAAGCAGCTCCAAATTACCAGGAGCTAAATYAAGTTAACACCCAGCTTGCTAGCTGGTTAGGATGTCAAASCTGAAGGSGAAAAAAAMCCCACAYACATTTCAAAAGCTACTGTTYACACCTACTGCTTGCTATGGAAAAACTTACTTATTCGCACTGTAATTGTTGAGAGCTTAAACCCCTTCTGCTCAGTATCTGATCAAAAGGGAGTCTGAAGAGATTAGGATCATATGGAACTCAGTAACTGAAGTTTCTAAAAATCAGAGYAAAATCTGAGGAAAAAGAATTAGGMATTGTGATTTCCAATTCAACTACTTCCAAAAGAATGTTTTTATTATATGCATTAGAAAAATTATTTAGCACTAACCAAAAATGATATCTATCAAATCTTCCTGTATGTAAGAGATCTCCAGCCACTGAGAGCTTGCACTTGAGAAGACAAGTGATGGAAAATATGTATCAGCACTGTTTTCAGCCACTCCAGACAGGCCAGCAGAGATCTAGCTGTTCCTCTCTGTTCTGTGCCAAGCTGCTAAATTCCCTGTTTACTGTTGGAAATCCTATTAAGAGTTTTCCTGAGGCTCTAAAGGACCCAGTAGGTAAAAGCTGTGTCCAAGCCTTGGTTAACAGCTATCCCACACAGTCAGAACTTACATCCAGCCCAACAGCTGGGGTGGTGCTTTGAAGCAAGGGCTTTGTCACCAGGATTTTGCTGTTGGTTGAGCCGTTTGCAGCAGCTGGAGGCAGTGCATTCACCGTGTGGTTCTGAAGTGGTGTGGCTCCTCCAGTGACAGCAATGACTGGCTGGGAGGCAGGAAGCACCCCAGAAGCCTGGAGCTGYACCACAGCGGGCTGGGGGAGCACCACGGATTGACCTGGAACACAAGAACAAACAGCAGCGCTCAGCACGGATGAAATGGATTTGTACATSACCACTCTGTAGGGCCATACTGACATCCTCTTCTGCCCTGAAAAATTTATCTCAAAYGCATTATTATATCTCCCAGAATAGGAATGGCAAAAAGAAGTTCTGAAGTTTACAGGACTCTTAATCCATCTTGCAAACCAAAACTATGCATACTAAAGGGATCCAATAAATCAAGCTCTATCCCAAAAGCTCTTAAAGGTTAATAAAATTCCACACTTGTTATATACATTACTCATTTCAGTATTGCTCACACTTGAAGTACTCTGAACAACTTTTTCAAAGAACTGAGCCAACTTACCCCAATCCTCCTTCTCCCTTTTGTCYCTACCTACTTTATTGCTGTATTCAATGGAAAATGTACTGCACAGAAGTGACTTCTGCTACACAGACCAATTCAAACTAGGAGATGAAAGATGAAGAGAACAATGCAAGTTACACTTTCAAAACTTATGATGAAGCTTCAATTCACACTAAAATCATTCTTTTAGAAAAATGCCTTATGCAAGAAAGTTTATACACAARCTGTATAAAGCTTAAGAATAAAGGMAAAATAAATGAGGTAATTTTGACAGAGTTTGAAATGGAATTAAAAACAGTCACATCCAAGAAATTTCAGTCCAACAACCACATTTAACTCAAGCAGGTGCTTGAGTAATATTTKGTTGTCTGAAAACACATTAACGTCTCTCTAATCCTTTGTAACAGGATGACCTCGCCAGCTTTCAGAAAAGAGCACATTCCAGCTGAGCATTCCAACCAAAATGCACGRCAATGCATTACAGCATTTATCCAGCCTTCTGGAAGGTGAAAAGTGAAGTAATTCACCCAGTGCCAAGATCTTTTATGTATGGAGTAAAATTAGACCTTCTTTTTTTCAGACACAGTCTTGAAGACATCATATTTAAGAACCTTAAATGATGAATTTGAAACTATTACAACTTTTTTTTTTTTGATGTATAAAGGATGTGATGCTCTAAGATCATGCYATCTACTTTAAGCTTCTATAAAAGGGACTGTGAAAATACAATTTCTCATGCTTCTTTGAAGATAATGGCATATTTCAAACTGGTAGCTCCAGCTTTTCACATGCAGGGGATTTTGGCTGATGAAAAAAAGATTTTTATGGTTTTTGTTATGGAAGCTGCACAAYAGAATTTTTAAACATACCATCAATTAAAGTAAATGGAATGCATGGAAATACTTTCCCAAAAGTATTTCCTCTATACTGTCTCACAGAAACTACTGTCCTGACTTTTCYTCAGGGAAAAGGAGAAGCTGATCTTCAGAGTACTAGACTTAYATCCAAAGAAATCCATAACCCCAGCATTCCTTATTCCAGATGATATTTTATCAGCTGGAACATCAGAAGGAATAAGAATTAGGTCACGCTGACTGCGCTGACCTGTGCTTTAAGAAGTCTAAGAATCTCAGGCATGTCATAACAAATGTCAGCATCTCCAGATTTGGCTGAACCCCTGATAGAAGAGAAATTAGTAATGGAGACATTTTTTTCACCATTGCAATAATTTAYTGATCCATGCCCTTAAGAATTCGTCTCCTTTCTCTTCCATGCTTCAGTGCCTGTGCAATCAACCAAAAGGAACTGTGGCCATCAGCTGGTGAAACGAGCAACTGCAGCTGACAATTCCTGCAAGGCAAGCAGTGTCCCTGCTGCCAATTCCTGCAAGGCAAGCAGTGTCCCTGCTGCCTCGGCTGGAAAGTGAAACAATGCTTTGGATTCACAAATAAAAACTCGAGCTACTTAAAAAATTGGTCACAGGGTATCTGTAGGAATAAAGAATTATCAGGGGACAGGCAGTCACTTTCCATCAGTTAACATCAGCAACTTTGTCAGAGGTTAGAAAAGCTCTCAATTTTTAGCAGATTTCACAGCATTCCATTTAATGCTGTTTAGGGAGCTAAAAAGCCATAAACTCATGCTCCCACCATGTTGTGGTGGAGTTTCATGTGGGTAAAAAATACAAACTTGTATCACTTCTCCAAGCTTTCCAGCTTCCTTCAAGGCACCCTCAATTCTGCTCGATCTTCCTTTGGTCAGAAGAGCACTGTAATCATTTTATGCACCACCTGACACTGCAAGCAGTACAGAGCAAAGCATCCCTACAGATCCTTCCAAATCAGCAGTTTGATCTCCACAGCCAGTGCTCAGCACAGCCTCTGTCTTCCATTCCAAATAATGGAATTATATAATCAACTCTCTTCCATTCCACACAATGCCCATGTGAGTTCTGTTTCTCACAGGAGAAGAGTAAGCCCASTTTCTCAGCCTAAAGCTTTTCCAACAAAACATTAGAACTGCTTTTTCTCCTATTCCTCCTCTTTCATGCACCAGACCTAACTTCATTCTATCAGCCATCCCAAACAGACAATATTACCACTAAGACCTGGCCCAGTCAAGACAATTCTCCTACCTTTAGGAGGTGCTGGCTGGATATTAACAACAGGCTGRTTCTTTGGCAGTGGCACAAGCGTGGGAAGAGTCTGAATAATGATGGTTTTAGCTGGGATGCCAATGTTAGCCTGAGCTTCAGGCACAGCAGGCAAAAGGGGTTTGGGCTGTATCAAAGGCCTGGACACTGTCTGACCACACCTCTTCAGGTTCTTTGCAGAATTATTTGCTARAAAAGGAAAAAGAGTCAGAGTTGGAACAAAAGACATAATATACAGAATTCAAGCAATAATGAAGTTGCTTTTAATATGGCATTTAATGTTGCTTTTAATTGTGTTTACCCATCTATAATATTTGTTAAAAATAAACATCTGATCAAATATCCAAGTCATAAATGACAGGGTATCTACTGTGTGTTAGTCAATAATTTATACGCAAGACAACACACACACCATTTATGGATAAAGGTTAACTTTGTCTCTCATACCAGATCGAGAAGAGATGTTCACAGGAGGCTTCTTGTCTCCATCACTTTCAGGAGATGGAGGGCTTTTGCAGCTTTTGCCATAGAGRGAGATGGGAGACATCTGGGAGCTACAGCTGAAGTCCATATCATCCTGCAGACAGAAAGCATGGGAGATTAATACTTCAGAAATACAGTGAAGAGTCTATTAGCAGTTCTGAGTATATCTGCTTTTCATCRTATCTGTGTTGCTGCTGCAGCCAACAGGAGAAAGGTTTTGTTCTGCAGCTTGATTGTGGCCAATGCCAGACATCACTAAAAAAAAAAAAAAACATCAGCAGAACAATGGGAGGCAGAGGCCAGCAGCTGATAGACTAAAAAGCCATAAACTCATGCTCCCACCATGTTGTGGTAGAGTTTCATTCTCTCAGAAGAAGYCTTTAGAAGCAATTTTGTTTGGCAACAAGGCTAACAAACATAGCTGAGCAAACAGAGCTGAACATGCTCTTATTCCARTGGGTCACAGAGAAGAGGTAAGAAAACACCACTGTTTTTTCAAGGGCTGGAAAAATAAGCTATTCCTCTTATGCCATTAATCTGGTCAGAGAAATAGATCACAGGGATTTTGGTTTGTCAGAACTGTTTCTGTTTATGTTACAGGGGGTTTTTGCATACAGGCACATTCTGCACTGGAGAGTCCACAGATGATGGCGAAGGGACCGAACAGCTGGAAGCAGCTGGTGACAAAGGTTCTGTCTTCACGTCTGCATCTGCAAAAGGCAGGTAAAGACATTTTACTGCACGAGTTTTTAGCAATGGGATATCAGTAAAGAACACACTGTCCTACACCACATATTTAATTCCTGAAGCATGGCACAGCAGAAGACACAGCTTGGCTTGTAGGGCAGCCCTTGTCTGCTGTACCCATCCTACAGAAACACAGCATAATTCTCATCACAGAGCAAAAGGCTGTAGGGCAGCAAATAGTTCCCCATGAGTTTAAACAGCTCACCCTTGTGGGGCAGGGTAGGAAGAGCAACACCTGCAAAATACAGAAGCTTAATTACCTGCRTATGCATGGCCTGTAATATTCCAAAGGTCTGAATCCCAAGACATCAAATCCAAGTCAAAATGAAAGTTATAGAGATCATTGTCCTGAAATGACAGTTCAGAAAAAGAGACAAGACAAAGAATAATTGACACCACCAGCCATTATATTCACATTCTTACAGCTCCAGAAAACAAAACATATAACATAATCATCAATCACTTCAGGTGCCTTAAGGTATGTAGAGACAAGAGTCCTTAAAGGAAAAACTTTCAACTAAAACACATAAAGCAAAGCTTCTTTTGAACTTACACCTGTAGGAAGTGGCAGATCAGTTTAAGATTATAATTAATTATTGTACCCTTATTGGTGATTTGTAAAGCAAAAGTTTTAAGTTCAGTCATTGAGCCACCTCATATAAAACACAAGTTTTAGCATCTTGGTGCCATCCTTTTTTTCAACTACCTTGAAAAATATATCTAATTTATTTAATCTCAAAGCACTTTACAAAAGCAGCATCAGGGACAGTTTACCACAGGAAAACAAACACAAGACTGATTTGCTCAAGACCTGATGAGCAGCATGTATTAGGTCTCCCTATACGTGTATACACTGATGTCAACACCTAAAGCCAAGGACACCAGGTTCCTTTTGCAACAAAAACCRAAACAAACAAACAAGCTAAAATCACTTAATACATACACCCTTTAAAATAACAGTTGGGGTTTTCTCACAATATTCTTCTGCTTGTGCATGTGTAAGTCTCAGTTSCCTTTGCAGATGTGGCCCCTTTACGAGCACTTACACAAAAAATACAGACATGACATACCCAGCTCATATAAATACGCAAAAAGATTTTCCTAAAAACTACCTTGCAAGTATACCTTTCCTTATATTCTCAACTTGCCTTGTGAAGGAAGATTTAAAAAGCCTGCAGACAGGATAGATACTGGTACTTACAAGTTACAATGAAGAGAAAATTCATTAGTGCACGTTTATAGGAAGAATAACCAAAAACCCACAACATGAGCCGTGCAGTAAGAGCCTCCACACAGGCAAGTAATACTGACCTGCTCATGGGCAATACTTTCCCCTTGTACAATCAGTCAGTTCCTACACTTTCTCCAGTGACTGGCTGTACACCTGCAGGAATGCTCTTAAAACCTGAAGTTTACATTGGATAACTCAGGGGTTGTGTTGGAGTGGGACAGGACACAGGGGGCAGGGGAAGATCATGGAGAGGAGAATCCACCAGGCAAATGCCCCAGGAGAGGAAAAGCAGTTTGCAGAGTGAAAAAGATAGGGATTAAGGCATAATGTTGCAAGCAAAGGGTTTTGGAGAAAATCCTACATTAAAGAATAAAAAAACAGAAGTAATCTAATAGGCAAAGTGATAAAGAAGAACCCGGCTGGATGGAGGTGTAACATATCCAACCTTCTCCTCTCAGGTAGTCCTGAGCCAGCGCTGCCCCGCAGGCTTCACCTTCACGGGGGCAGTGACAACACCGCTCCTCCTCCACGACACCTCACCCCTCACCCTAAACTCTCTCCCCGACACTCCCGCTCCACTCTCCAGCCGTGACAGCCGCGGTGTGTGTAAGCGATCGCTATCTCAGCGCTGACGCACCGTGAGGGCCGGCCAGCCGCGCTCTCCTGCCAGGCCCCGGGGGCTCCCCGAGCCGGCCCGGAGCTCACCCCGCCGGCGGAGCGCGGAGCCCGGCCCCCGCCARCCCCGCTGCCCCCGCTACTCACCTCGGGCTCGTCCTTGGGGGCCGCGGCGCCCAGCAGCTCGCTCAGCTCCTCGCCCAGCACAGCCTCTGCGGGAGACACAAGGGGCTCAGCGCCGGCCCGGCCCCGCCGGGGAGCTCCGCGCCGGCCCGCCCCAGCCCCAGCCCCGGTCCCGGCCCCCCGAAGCCGCGCTCACCCCAGTCCAGACCGCCCCCCCGAGCGGGCAGCAGCCCCGCCGGCTCCCACTCGGCCTCGGCCGCCGCCATGGCTTCCCCTTCCTCCCGAAACACACGTCTGCTTCCGGCACGGCCCGCCCCGGACGGCGGCTGCCGGCGGACACTCGGCGGGCCGGGGCGGGGCGGGGCTGAGGGTGCGCGGGGCTCCGGCGGCGGCTGCCCGTGCACTCGGTGCCCAGAGAGACTCACAGAGTCCGTTCGCTTGGGAAAGACCTCTGAGATCAGCGAGTGCGACCTGTGGCCCAACATCACCCTGTCAACCAGACCATGGCATTTACTGCCGCGTTCAGTGTTTCCTCAAACACCGCCGGGGGCAGTGACTCCACCGCCTCCCAGGGCAGCCCTTTCCAATGTCTAATCACTTTCTGTGAAGGAATTCCTCTGAATGTCCAACCTAAACCTCCCCTGGTACAGCTTAAGACTGTGTCCTCCTGTCCTTTCACAAAGACAAGCCTGGGATAAGAGATGGACCCGCAGCTGGTTACAATCTCCTTCCTGGGAGTTGTAGAGAGCGATAAGGTCTCCCCGGAGCCTTCTCCAGGCTAAACAACCCCAGTTCCCTCAGCTGATCCYCCTCAGACTTGTGCTCCAGCTCCTTCACCACCTTCATTCCCTTCTCTGGACCCGCTCCAGCACCTCACCGTACTTCCTGAACTGAGGGGCCCAGAACCGGACACRGCACTCGAGATGTGCCTCACCAGAGCCAAGCACAGGGGAAGAATCATTTCCCCAGTCCTGTTAACCACATTATTTAMAGAAGACTTTCCCCCTCTGCCTCAGGCACATGGACACATTGGTTAGASAAAGGTGTTTATTCAGACCCTGCTGACACAAGTTCATTGGTGGAAGCACAAGTGGAGCAGCTATCGGAGAATGTCCAAATTCCCGGTGGGAAAATGTCCAAGGGCTGTGTGACACACTGCCCCCAGCACACAGCCCTTCATCCCTGGCGGGTGTCCAGCTGCTTTTCCTGGAGGCAGTTCTCCTCCCCAGGGGAATGCASTGTGGTGGCAGTGTCCATAGCCAGCACTGGTGTGGGTGCAGCCACAGGCATGGAGTCCCTCTGCATCCTGGCAGCAKCTCCTGCTGGGCCTGCAGCACCGGGAACACGATGGGTTTGGGCTTTGGGCAGGCTGCAAGCATAGGAGAGACAGAGCTGCTGTCACCCACTTYGGTCCCAAGGGGTGTCCCCAGCAGGCAGGATGGCTGCCCAGGTAAATTTTGAACAGGGTCATGCCAGCCCTCACCTCACAGGTTGGCATCATACGCTGCATTGGTGAAGGTGCCCGGTGCTCCTAGGTCACTGGAAGGCAAACACAAGGGTGTCACCTTGGATAGTGCAGGAGTGTGTGAAGGGCAGGGGTTAGCACGGCCCTGTCAGCCCCAGAGATGTTCCCATATAAAAACAGCCTCACTCAGGCAGACCTGGCTGTCAGCAGGGTGACCACAGGGCTGTGATAGTCGCACCCTCCTGCCTCTCACCTGGTGGGTTTCAGGAGCTTCCTCTTCTCCTCTGATAGCGGTGTTGAAATGTCCACAGGGATAAAGCACATAGAAAAGAAATAACCMGATCTGTTTAGTGAAGGTCATGAGAAGCTGCAGCAGCAGCATCTGAAATTGAGCAGAGTTTGACAAGCATGGGATGGGGCCAGGAGAGGGCTGAAGCATTTGCTGCCTTCTTCAGAGTGACGATGTTTATCTGGCTCTGCCCTCCAAACTTGGCTGTTGACACTTTCAAACTGCCAAGGAGCCAAACAACTCATAGCAAATAGGACATGTGAATGGAGGTAGTCACCCTGTTAAACACTTCTAACCACCCCAGCCTCCCCTGGGATTTTGTAACCACCTTGCCTGAGAGCCCCTGGCCAAAGCTAGGGTGGGCTGCAGAAAGATTTCTGTACCTCTGTCACTGAGCCTYTTGGCAAGGAGGGCAATGAGCCCCCCGGAGAGCACAACACCAGCTAATGCCAGGGCTGAGCCACTGCTGTAAGCCAGGACTTGCTTTAAGAAGGCACCATCCTCTGAAACAAAGCCACAGAGCCACACGTTAGAAAGTTGTCAGGACTTCATAGCCCCTGGGGAGCCCCCACCATGGTCAAGATGTGCTTGGAGGAAAGCTGGAACCCCCACAGTGCCAGGGGAGCAGAGGGATCCCACCATACCTGCACAGACAGGGGGATTGCTGGTCCAGTTCCCTGTGGCCTCACACCGGAGTGTCTCTGCTCCCATCCGAACGAACCCCTCCTCGCAGGAAAAGGTGCACGTGGAGTTGTAGGTGAAGTTCCCATGAATGTGAGAGCAGCTCAGCTGGCCTTTGCTTGGAGGGGCCAGCAACGGGCAGCTGACAGCTGGAGATAAAGCACAGCAGGAGCATCAAGGGGACAGGACTGATGGTAGAGGGGTGGGGACACAAGGGCTGGGAAGCCAGGGATGARGTGACATCACCTGGGGTGCTGGGGAACACAATCTACTACAACAGAGCCCTCTCAGATACGTGTGAGATGGTGAGATTTACCTTTGCATTGTGGGGAATCCCCTGCCCAGGTTCCTGTAGCTGTGCACTCACGGCTCTGTGGCCCCAGCAGCACAAACCCCGTCTGGCAGGAGAAGGCACACGTGGAGCCAAAGGTGAAGTCCCCATAGAGGTGTGAGCAGGCAGCCTGGCCCATCTTGGGCATGGTCAGTGCTGAACATTTGATGGCTGCAAGGGTGAAGAGGCACACACACCTCAAAAAAGAGGGACTGTTGGGACCAGGGGGCTGGGGAACATCATAGTGTCACCCCAAGGCTAGTGACACCCTGAGCTGTGGTAGCAACTCTACCTTCACAGTGTGGGGCATCCCCTGTCCATGTCCCCATGGCTGTGCACTCACGGCTCTGTGCCCCCATCAGCACAAACCCTGTCTGGCAGGAGAAGGCACACGCAGAGCCAAAGGCAAAGTCTCCATGGAGGTGGGAGCAGTTGAGCTCTCCCTGGTCTAGAGCACTGAGTGCTGGACAGGTGATGGCTGCAAGGACAGAGATACATTTCCAAGCTGGAATCTATGGACTTTGAGGATAAACCATTGGAACAAGAGGTTCAATGGGATCCTCTGGGGTGCATCCCATGCTCAACACAAGACCAGTGACACCTTGAGCAGCAGTAATACCTCTGCATTGTGGGGTGTCCCCGGTCCAGGCCCCCATGGCTGTGCACTCACGGCTCTGTGGCCCCATCAGCACAAATCCTGTCTGGCAGGAGAAGGCACATGTGGAGCCAAAGCTGAAGTCCCCATGGAGGTGGGAGCAGTTCATCTCTCCCTGGGCTGGAGCACTGAGCACTGGGCAGGTGATGACTGCAGGGCAAAGAGGCAYACTTCAGGCAGGAGCTTGGGGACTAGAGGCTAAACTCGTAAGATGAGAGGACCAAAAAGAGAATGCCCTGGGGTCTGCCCAAGGCCTGTGACACCTMGGACAGCAGCTCTACCTTCACATCTTGTTGCATCCCCTGTCCACATCCCTGTAGCTGTGCACTCACGGCTCTGTGGCCCCATCAGTGCAAACCCCGTCTGGCAGGAGAAGGCACACGTGGAGCCAAAGGCAAAGTCTCTGTGGAGGTGGGAGCAGTTCATCTCTCCCTGATCTGGAGCACTGAGCATTGGGCAGGCAATGACTGTGGGACAGAGAAAAACTTCAAGCAGGAGTCTGGGGACTACAAGGCTAAACCATTGGAATGAAAGGACCAAGACACTGGAGAACATTCCAGGGTCAGCCAGAGGCCTGTGACACCTCAAGTAGCACCCTACCTTCACAGTGTGGGGTGTTTCCAGTCCATGTCCCCATGGCTGTGCACTCACGGCTCTGTGGCCCCATCAGTGCAAACCCCGTCTGGCAGGAGAAGGCACACGTGGAGCCAAAAGTGAAGTCCCCATGGAGGTGGGAGCAGTTCATCTCTCCCTCATCTGGAGCACTGAGCACTGGGCAGCTGATGGCTGTAGGGACAGAGAAACACTTCAAGCAGGAGCCTGAGAACTACAAGGCTAAACTGTTCAGTCTCAGAGACTGGGGAAACCCTTGTGTCACCCAATGGCCCAGCAGCAGCTCTACCTTCACAGTGTGGGGTGTCCCCAGTCCATGTCCCCATGGCTGTGCACTCACGGCTTTGTGGCCCCATCAGCACAAACCCCTTCTGGCAGGAGAAGGCACACGTGGAGCCAAAGCTGAAGTTCCCATGGAGGTGGGAGCAGTTCAGCTCTCCTTGATCTGGTGCACTGAGCACTGGGCAGGTGATGGCTGCAGGGACAGAGAAACACTTTGAGCAGGAGCCTAAACTATGAGACTAAACTGTTGGAATGAAAGGACCAAGACACTTAAGAACATTCCAGGGTCTATGACACCTTGAGCAACACCCTACCTTCACAGTGTGGGGTGTTTCCAGTCCATGTCCCCATGGCTGTGCACTCACGGCTCTGTGGCCCCATCAGTGCAAATCCTGTCTGGCAGGAGAAGGCACACGTGGAGCCAAAGGTGAAATCCCCATGGAGATGGGAGCAGCTCATCTCTCCCTGGTCTGGAGCACTGAGCACTGGGCAGGTGATGGCTGGAGAGTGAAGAGGTACACTTCAGTCAAGAGCTTGGGATCTGGGAGGCTAAAACTGGGAGACTTCTGGGACCAGGGGGCTGGGGAACACCAGAGTGTCAGCCCAAGGCCAGAGACAGCCTGTGCTCCAGCAGCAGCTCTACCTTCACATCTTGTTGTATCCCCTGTCCACGTCCCTGTAGCTGTGCAYTCACGGCTCTGTGCCCCCATCAGTGCAAACCCCATCTGGCAGGAGAAGGCACACGTGGAGCCAAAGSTGAAGTCWCCRTGGAGGTGGGAGCAGTTCATCTCTCCCTGRTCTGGAGCAYTGAGCRCTGGACAGGTGATGGCTGCAATGGGAGAGCAGATCTCAGAGATGGGATAGATGAGGCTGAATCTAATGATTCAGGCAGAATTTAAATAAAATCTTCATAACCTCTTCAAAAACTGTAGTTGGTACAATGATTTTTCTGCCCTACAAGTGATTTCCTGGAGGGGACACAGTTGCTGCATTAACGCCCTCCAGCCCAGCTGATACTGACTCCATTCGCTGTTTTCAGACTGACACCAAACACTTTCCTAGGCAGACTTTTCCTTTCACAACTATTTCCCAGGCTGTTCTGGCTTCTCAGAGAGTGCCCAGAGGAGTCTGTAGGTGAATATGCTGTGAAGGTGGGAGCAGTTGATCCAGCCCCTTTGGGGCCAGCCAGCAATGGGCACACCACGGCTGCAGGCAGGCGTGGGGCAGAGTTTGGGGCAGGCCAGGCCCCTTGTCCCTCACAGTGCTTACAGCACCATCAACCTTGCTTGCAGCCTTGCTCTGCTCATTTTTGGAGCAAGCCCAGCTGGCAATGCTCACTAACACCACTTCGTTATCAGCACAGGCGACCGAGTCACTTATCTGATTCTTYGCAATAAAACAAAAATCAATCATATTACAGCTAGCGGGGAAAAAACAACAAGCTGGGAAAGCAAGCCCCTGGGAGCCTGAAAAGCCTGGAGCACAGGATCAGCCCAGCTTACCTGCAGGGACTTSCACAAAACTGGGAGCCTGCCCCTACCCCTGCTGGGGATGCTGGTTACAAAACAGTCCCATCACATCTCTGTGCCTGTTCCCTGTAACTGCTGAGAGTTTTGCTGGTCTCAGCTGCCTAAGGCAAGTCATCACCAGCACTAGCTTCAAGACAGGCTCTTTTTGGCAGGCTTTATTTTTTATTTTTTTTTTTTTAAGACTATCTATGCAAAGATGCTGCCCACTCCTGACCCTTCCCAATCCAGAGGGTCTCCGGTTGTGTCCCATGTCTGCTCCTGTCCTCAACTCATCCCATCCTTGTGTAAGGCTGCAGATACACCACACCACAGCGTGGGAAAGGTTCTTGTGCCCCCCAAAAAGCCCAGTATTTCTCTGGGATGCCTGGTGCCTGGCTGCAAAYCCTCAAGCCACCGACAGGAAGACTTTCTCTGCCCCTGCAGCATAACATACCACAACTTTCTCTCCTTTGTGGTTTCCTGCCATCATCTGTCCCTCCCAGCTTATATGGGTCCTTGATCAAGGTGGCCTATCCCTTCCAGGATAACCGTTCCCTTGGCTGTGGGACAGTAACCCTTCTTTTCTTTCCCAAGGAGCCAAACACCTTCCTAAGGCAGATCAGGGCAGGCTTAGGGRGAGAGGGTTGACAGAGGTGCCAAGACAATATCCTGACTCCATACTTGGTGCACACAGGGTGCTGACATCTGAGTGGGGTTCAGGATGGAGAGCAAGGGCACTGGGACAGACAGGCAGAGCAGGGGGCTTATCATGAGCTCATTGCTGCTCTGTCACTGCAGCCTCCTCGGGGAATCACATCCCATATATAGCACCAAGAGATGCTTCCACAACGGGCAAGACTTGTCTAAGCAGCATTGGGCACACAGGGCTGGGCCCCCCAAGGCATCAATGCTGCATCCCTGAGACTCCCAGSCCCTGCCAGGCCCTACCTGTACAGGTGGGGATGTTTGCTGACCATTCCTGGGAAAGCAGACACCGCAGCATGCCCGCCCCTCGCCGYTCAAACCCTTCCTGGCACCCGAACTCGCAGGTGGAGTTGTAGCTGAAGTCTCCGTAGGGATGGCTGCAGTTCATGTGCACTCCCTTGGGCTCCAGCTCGGCACACTGCACCACTGCAGAGACACGGTGCCACCAGCCCGTTAGGAGCACAGGAGCCCTGCCATGTCAGCAGGGAGGGAGGGATGGGGATGGATGTCTCACCCTCTGCACACTCAGGGCCGTGGAATCCAGGGTAGCACTCGCAGCGGTAGCTCCCGATGGTCTCCACGCACTCACCGCGCTGGCTGCACGGGAAGGGCTGGCAGGAGGCTGCACACACAGGGAATGGTCACCAAGAGCCACTGACCACCCTGCCGAGGTCCCCAGCCCCCCCAGTGCAGCTCTGGGCCGTGGTCCCACCGCTCACCCCGGTAGCATAGCGCTTTTTTCTTCCGGCTGCAGGGCTCGTCGTTCCACTTGCCCGACTGCTGCGGCCGCTGGATGTAGATCTCCACGCAGTCCTGGTTGGAGCGGCGGTTGTTGGGCTCCCCKAGTGCCCAGTTCTCTGCCTCCTTGGTCAGTGCCTTCCTGGTGCCCACCCAGGTCCAGACACCGCCCAGCTTGCGGATGCCGATCCAGTAATAGCGAGCGTGGTAGGGCAGACTCCTGTTGAGGTACTCGATCTCCTGCTGGTTCTGGATGGCCACCAGGTCGGTAAAGAAGGTCTGGCAGTAATTCCTGGCCTGCTCCCACGTGTAGTCCCCTTGGTCACTGTAGTGGTAGGTCCAGGCACCCACCTCCACCCACAGCAGCGTGCCTGTGAGAGAGGATGAGGTGTGGGATCAAGAAAGGGTGGGAGCCAGGTCAGGGGTGAGATCCTTTGGGATGTGAGGGTGGGCTGAGCCTGGCATCATGGCCAGGAGATGCCAGTGACCAGCTGRGTGAAGGGCTTGGATGAGAAGACAAGTGTGGATGAGATTGGGGTTCTATGGGTACACAAAGACCTGCGTGGATCAGGCATGGCAGAGGGAGCTGGATGACACAGGGGATGAGGAAGGTGGGGGACACAGGGTGAAGGCTGAGGCAGGGAGCAGCATGGGATGGGACAGGCAGAGTGCAGGCAGCAGGAGAGCCCCAAGCTGTGATGCCACCCCTCCTCCAGCACAAGGATTCAAAGCCCAGCCCCATGGCTCTGTTYCCCTGCCCACAAAAGTTTCCCAAAGGGGAAAATAGACTTTTAGATGGTTCCTTAAGCATGGTTCCTTCCTTGAGTGCAGAAGTGTACCACTTCAGTTTTCTTGCTTTACCCTGCCACGTGAGAGATTGGAGCAAAGCACTTGGATCTCAGTGTGCTCATCTGAGCCAGAGATGGTCTAAAGAGTCTTGTAAAACTCAGTGTTGCAAAACAAGGTCTTACAAAAGTCAAGCTCACATCRTGGTCATGCCCACCCAGCAGGGCAAAGCCAGAAAGTAACTGGAACCCACACCCAGAAGTGAAGGACACTTTGCTGAAACCCTGCTCTTATTTACAGCATTTCACATCAGAACTTTATGCAATCAAAGGGTTTTAGCCACAGAAGGAAGCTTCCTCCATTCTCCTCAGAAGCAGCTATCTCCACAACTGCAGAAAGTGATATGGGGATCATATCTGCATCTGTGCAGAAAGTGAGATGGGGATCAAAGTCTGCTCCAACCAACCAGCCTGGCTCACCCGGCATCTCAGGAGTGTCTATCACACTGCGGTTATGCAGACAAAGATCTGGGCGTTGCTRATTAGATGCTAGTACAGATTTTCTAAAGTCTAATTTGGGCTGTAGTTTTGTCAATAATTTTACATTTTCTAAGTAATTTCCCATAATTTGTCTGGTTTTCTCTGTGAAAGTGCAAACTGTTTTCTTTGTTCAACAAAACTGAAGCTGAGGAAAAGGCASTTCCCTCTTTACTTTTTGGGAATTTGGGGTTGCAGGACAGGCTCTCAGGGCACCTTCTGGAAGCCTGCCCCACCCCCAGCTCCCACCACCCTCCTCCTGGCGCTCACTGCTCCCCAGCACGGCTCAGGACAGCTGCCTGCTACCCCCACACACCCCATCCCCAAACCAAGAAGGGCCAAAGAAGCCCATCTGCTACGTGTTCATCCTCCACRTGTTTTCTCACCTCTTTCCTCCAGCTCCACCAGTTACACCCTTTCTATGGCTCACCTCATCTGCCCTATGTTACCTCCCCAGTGGGTGCTGTTTCCCTGCCTTTTGACACTTTGGCTCCCTTGGCAGCCCTGATACCTCTTCCCAGGGTGGTGCTCAGCACCCTCTGTGCTTGGGGTGCCTTTGCCTTTTTGTTTTCTCCTAGAGCCAAATCTCAGCCTCTCCCTGGCACTTCCGCACTTGCCTCATTTCTGTTCCTCAGCTCAGTCACTGAGTTTCTTAGGAAAATAATTCAACTCACAGAGCAGGYGCCAGCAGGTTTTACTCTGTGCAATGCCCGCATGTGAAGGGAATAACCTACAGGCAGCAGAAACAAATCAGCTTCTATTCCCCTGATGTCAATTAGCAGATCTAACTCTGTGTGGTGCTGCCCCAGCTGGGCTATGAACCTTCACACCTGTGGGTCCTGTGACCACAYCCATGCCCAGCTCCCCGGCACAGGCACGAGTGTAGGCATGGGTACAACACGGGCATGGATGTAGGCAGTGGGTACAAGATGGGCATGGCTGTAGGCAGTGGGCAGAGCCACTGCTGCTGTTCCCCGGTTCACAGCACAGCGCACCAGCTGCCACGCTGCATTTGGGGAACCAAACATCCTGCAGGGACCCAGGCATAGCCCAGCCCTCCTCGGGGGGAGCACGGTCTGCCTGGGCAAGGGCAGCCCCCTCCCAGCCCAGGAGCATCCAGATCTGGGGGGTGTGACCGATGAACCCCCAAAATACACAAACCTTCTCCCATTTCCAGGGTCATGCTGGGCTTACTGGGTGGGTGGTGGGTGACTTACCCCATGTGATGGCAGCGATGCCCAGGTAGATGCCAGGAGAGCCCAGAGTCCGTGTCCTCCCAGCAGATCGTGGTCCCAGAGCAGTGCCCTGACAGGGAGGGAGCTGTGAGCRTGCACATCCCAAGGGGCTCGGGCATGCACCCACAAGGGCCCGTTGCTTGTGGTAGCTCACACTCAGGCACACAGGAATGGCCCCTTCCAGKGCCTACAGCGTGGCTGGGCAGTGGGGGACACACTGCCAGCAATGCACTTCACTCCTGGGGAGCCCCTAATATCCTGTGCCCTCTGAGCCCCTTCCTGCCCATCCAGGGCTGGCATCGGTCTCTGCCAAGGCAGTGCCCTGTGTGCCTGGCAGTGTGCCGTGAGCCTGGGGTCACCCAGGCAGGGTCTCTGGGACAGCCTGAACATGTCCCACAGCCCCAGCAGTGACACTGATTCCTGTCAGCACCTACCCACTGCCCTGCCCTCCCCTAATCCCCTTTTCTARGCAGTCACCCCAAGGAAAGGAGCAGGACTCACCATGGTGGCGCCGCAGCCGCACCGTGCCCAGCCAGCGGCAGCTGTCCCTCCTCCGAGTGTGCAGCACATCGCTCCCTGCCCCGGCCTCTTCCCCTCCCATCCCAGCCCCGCTGCCAGCCCACATCCTGCCMCCACATCCCCTCCTCCCCCGCCACAGGGCTCTCCACAAACCCTTCTCTCGGCCCGGGGCTAGAGGGGAGCAGTGGGGTCAGCCCTGGCCACGGTCCTGATGGGACCTAGCTTGGCACCAGCCCCATGGCATGGGAGCTGGGTGCATCCCCGGGCTGCCATGGGGACATGACAGCCACAGGAGGTGACCCACAACGAGCCAGGCTTGCCTGAGCATCCCAAAAGGTGGAGAAGGGTCCTTCAGAAAACATTCAGCTCCAGCCCATGGTGCTCAGAGCACCAAGATCTCTCTTACCCACCATACCCGTGTGGCAGAGCCTACACTGGCGAGGACAGAGCAGGGCTGAGGTGTGATGAGGTCCCTCATGGGCTGAGTGGGAGCGTGGCTGGTACTGTGCCAGACACTGTCGCCACACACAGGCGTTTGTGTGGCTGTGAATCTGTGTACCATTTATAATCAGTTACTTACGCAATGTTTTTTTCTGTCTTTGCCTTTAAGTCTTCATGAGAAAGGTCCAAGAATATGCCAGAGGAACTGGCCCATGACTTATTAACATCCTTTAGGAACTTCCACCAGTGCTTCAGGAACATGTCTAATTGTGTCCACCGCCCCTTGGATCATTGTAATCATTATAAATCTTTCCCTACCCTGTCCTGCTCGTAAGTASAACTGCCTTGGCTGGGTTTTCTGAAGAAATTACTCTGCTCACTTCCAGGTAAAGCCAAACAAGAGCCATGMAGGTCACATGTATTTTCCAGTTCCAGAGAAATTGATGCTGCTCCACCAGGACTCATTCTAGACAAAAGGAGGAACCCATCCCACAAAAGCCATAACCACTACAATTACATTATTTTTGGCCAGTATAAATTAATTTTGCTTCCTGTCTCTGGATATCTTCCTATGAAAATGTTTTACTGCACTTGTCTCTTTTTATGGAATTGTTGAGTCTGTGTGTCCAGTAATTCAGGAGTGCTCGCTTTCTAGCAGCTCATCTGCTTGAGAGGGGTCAGTTATGGGAAGGGAATGAGCACCAAGCAGGCAGAGAGGCTGAGGGGCAGCTGCTGGGACAGGAGAGCATCTCCAAATGCTGAGGGTCACCTGGGCAGGGTGGGAGCTGACTCTCTCCCTGGTGAGAGACCTGCTGAAACTCAGAGGGGTGTTCATGGGTGCACGCCCCAGGGCAGAGCAGGCTGTGCCCCTGCCAGTTTCACTTCTGCTGAAACCCAGCATGGTAGGGCAGAGTAGTAGAAAAAAAAATAGAAAAAAAATATATCCCACCTTTGTTTTTGTAACTACAAATAGTTTGTGGTATTCCTTTAAAAACAAAATCAAGGTGGCTAAGACACAGAGGCTGTTGCAGCTGCAAAGACAATACCTGACCAAGTTGAAGCTGTTTGTGGGGACAGGTGCCTGGGCTCAGAGAGGGGGTCCTAACATGGCAAGATGGTTACTGAGGCTTGCTTTRCAGGTAGTGGGGAAAGGTACACATGACAGGAGGGAGAGAAGACCAGAATCAGCTCCTCTGGGAGCTGGTTAATCACCAGGAACCCTGTCACATCTCGGGTGACTTCCAAGGTTGGCTCCCCTGGAAGGGATTCAGGATGCTGCAGGGCACATGCTCAGTCCCTGCTGCCCTGCTTACCAAGGATGGCTCTGTCCCTGCTGAGCAGTGCCAGGATGGTGCACCCYGTCCCCTCAGCCACCCCTCCGAGGSCACAGCACAAGCTGCCAGCCAGGGCTTTGCTCAGCATGGGCTCAAKGGGGCAGGTACAAGGACACTTTCCTGTGTCACCTCCTCCCTGTSCCTCCGGACCCAGRCATCTAGAATGGAGAAGTGCCTCCTTTGCCGTGCCCCGGCGCTGAGCAGCAGTCGGGGGATGCTCTCAGTGCCCAAAAGCCCCTGCCGCAGGCTCTGCCTCTGGAGAAGGGGCACGGCTGGGCGTTGTTTACGGCAGAGGCTCCCGCCCCACGGCGGCACAGCCTGTTCCCCTCCTTGTGCAATGTCCCCCGCAAACCGCAGAGGAACCGAGTCACCCCGACACAGCCCGTGCGGCTCGGCTGCTGCCTGCGATACAGCGGGCACCTTCCTGGGAGCCCCGCTCGCCCCGCAAGGAGCCACCCGATGCGCCGCGTCGGGACTGTGGGGTGGTACCGGCGGGGACACACACCCCTGGGTGCAGCCCCACTGCTGCCATGGGGTATACTCCTCCCTGGGGACACGGGTGGCTGTCCCTGAGGCTTTAGAGGCATCTCCTGAGATTCCCTCCCACCACAGAGCCCCAGGAAGTGCTTGACCCAAAGGGTGTCCCTGAGCTGCAGGATCCCGTTGGGCAAGTGTGCCAGCGCACAGCTTCAGCAGCCGGACCCTCCTCCTGCTCCCTTTCATCAGCTGCTGCCCCGCCTCAGGCAGCACCTGATAAAATMTTTCTCACAATTTGAAAGTGTTTGGACACTTTGAGACGCGTTTGAGTGCCACCTTGGGTTCGAGTGACTGAGAAAGTTGTGAGGATTAGCCAGGACCGGAAAACCAGGGCAAGTACCGTGCACCCCGCACCCACAGGGACCTTGGGGCACTGGGACAGCCCTGGCTATGGAACACAGGGGTATTTTGTGGCAAATCACTCCTGGTCATCCCATCCAGACCCTCTCAGAGATATTCTTTGGCCTCAGCTGTAGAACAGCTCTCTGTGTCCTGCCTGTCACTGCCGAGCTGGTGATGGAGAGCCTTTTCACTGGGCATCACTGGCCACACAGGTACCACTGCCCACGCTGCCTGCGGCTCCCGGCACCTGGCAGCAGCCACGTGTGCGTGGCTCAGATAAGGGTTTGCCAAACAGGATGCTTGGGGTACAGATAACACTGACATTATCTCACTGACTGTGGTAAAGTGTAAACAAGTGACTCTGCCCACCCGGGGAATCCCAGGCAGCCCTGCCAGCGAGCTGGGGCACAGAGCGGGTACAGGGTGCTGGGGTGCAGCTGCAGGGCTGTGCCATGTCCTTCTAGAGCTGTGTCTGTAGCCAAGGCCAGCCCCTGCAGAGCTAAAGACATCCTCCCCTCTGGCCAGGAAATCCTGTGGCATCCCCTCCAGCAGGCAYTGTGCCCAGCTGTGTTTTCCCTGAGCCAGAAGCAACCTAGAGGATATTCTTCACCCTCTGGTGGGCCAGAGCTGAGGTTTCCTCTTCTAAAAGTTCCTCTCTCTTTCTCGTCTCCCTGCTTCAGCACACAGCTTGACCAGCTTGGCTGCTATCAGTTATCACAGGGACCCTCCTGGCTGAAGATCTCCCCTGGGATCTTCTTATCTTTCTGCTCCAAGGAGCTATTTCTGTTGTCTATTTAGATTATTTATCTATTATCTACAGGTAGAGCAGGCGCAGGCACAATGTGCTTCATGTTTCAAAGTCTTTTTTATATCTCAACTACTTTGGATCTGCAAACTGCCCGGCCCACGCTGTCCCTGCTGTTGCAAACTGTTGGGCTCTGCCACTCGCAGTGCAGTGTGTGACCCCAGGGACAGTGTAGTCCCATCTGAATCACTGCCTCWGGSCATYCWGCTCTYCATGMACMGGGTRGGTGGCACTTGCTGAAGTTGGCTCCCCCTGAGAGTCCTGACTTTTTGGGCAAGTTCCGGCAAGGAAGAAACAAAGGCCAAAATAATGAGAGGAAGGATGTCCTAACCACTTGTTGCCACCTAATTCCCACTCCTCTGACCTCTTGCAGCTCTGCTTTAAGATCAAGATGGTCACAGACACAAATTAAACTGTGCTTTATCCGTGGTCAGAGTGGTACAGGCTCCTTCACATCTAAGCAGCAAAAGCAAAAGGTCTTTTCTACACTTTTCTGATAGGAAACGGCAAGGCAACAGAGGCAGTGCTTTCCTAGCTTTTTTATTTTTATTTACCCTTGAAAGGAAAAGGACTGTTTTTCAGAGAGGTGTTTTGGGAGGACTCACTGGCCTGACAGGAGGTGAGGCAGGACCCTCTACCCTCACCCATCCCCGTGCTGCGCTGTGAAGTCGCCGCTGGCCCAGCCCCGCACCGGCACCGTACCTGGCTCCTCAGGGCAGGGCGCAGCTCCGCTCCGCTCCGACCACAGCCGGCCCTCCTCTGCTGCCTCTGCGGCTGTCACACCATTGTCACACGAAGGCTTCCCGGCGCTCTGCAAGACCTAGAACCCCGCTTTTGCCCTACAGGCACTGACGTCCTTCGGCCGAGGCGCGGGGCCGGCAGCAGCGTCCTTCCCGAGGGACAGCGGCGCGGGCAGCGAGCGGAGCTGTGCCGGCTGCGGCGTCTGTCGCCTTTGCCGCGGAGGTGCCGGGAGGGCACCGTGGGGGTGCCGGGGGCCGCTGTGCCGTGTCCTTTGGCTCCRTTGCTCTCCACGATGAGCCGGAGCAGGCCTGCGCCGGGGAAGTCCATGATGACCACCCCCCAGCGCACGGGCTGCCCGGCGCGGCGCCGCAGGTGCTGGCAGCAGCGCGGGTTCACGAAGCGGGCCACCTCCTCGGGGCAGGTGAAGAGCCCATTGCCGGAGCAGAAGGTGAGGTACATGGTGGTGGGGTCTCCGCCGGCCGCCTTCTCCAGGTGCCGCCGCGCCCGGGCCCATTTGCGCTCCAGGGAGAGCACGTTCCAGGCGTCGCTGATGCTCAGCTGCTCGTAGGGGATGCCCAGCACCTCCCGCGCCAGCGCCTCCAGCACCACGATCTTCCCGCGCACCTGGCCCAGCGTGGGCACCTCCTCCCGGCACCACACACAGCCCTGTCCCTCCTCCAGCAGGCAGCGGTGCAGCTGGGCGGCGAAGCCGGGCCGGGAGAAGATGGGCAGCTCCTCCTTGATGCGCATAAGCACGGCCTCGCCGGGGTGGGCGCGGAGGAAGCGCAGGGTGCGGCGCAGGACGCCCCGCAGGCTGGCCCGCTGGAAGGTGCACAGGTGGTAGATGCGGAGCTCGCCCCGCCACAGCTTGCAGCGAACGTCCAGGAAGCGGATGCCGGCCGCCAGCTGGGCCTCCAGGCCCCAGCTCTGGCACCGTAGGCGGCGGCCGCCGAACAGGCTGAGGGAGTCGTGGGTGCCGGGGATGGAGAGGCGGGAGAGRGGCAGGGCGTCGGGGAGCTCCGCCATCCAGTCAGGGCAGCAGGCTGCCGGCTGGGGCACGCAGTCGAAGGCAGCTCCGYGCCGGGACCATGTCTCCATGCCAGTGGGAGAACGGGCCCCTGGCACCTGGCTAGCCCCTCGGAGCCCTGCCGTGGAGGAGAAACGGACCATGAGCGGCGGGAGCAATGCACTGTCCCCAAGCGTCCCGATCCCACCCTCCCCAATGGTAGGCCCACCATACCATGAAACCCTAGAGCCTATCATACCCTATAACACACCACATGCCCCCACCATGAAACCCTAGGGCCTATCATACCCTATAACACACCACATGCCCCTACCATGAAGCCCTAGAGCCTATCATACCCTACAACAAACCACATGCCTCCACCATGAAACTGTAAACCATATCATATATATAACTCCATGCCCCATCATATATACACCCCATGCCCCATGTACATTGCTGCCAGTATTTCTGTCTCACTGTACCATTCCCCTCCCACTCTCAGGCACTTGTCGCAGTACCCCCGAGCCCTGGTGCATCCCAGCCTCCTCCTGTACCCACCTGGGTTTGCCTGTGGCTGCGGAGCAGAGCCCGGTCAGGGCGCTCGGCCGTGGGTGCCGGCGGCACTCTGGCAGGTAGAGCGGGATGCCAGCCATTAAGCCGGTGACAGTCATGACGCGCGTCCTGCCTCGCAAATGGCACGTGCCCCTGGGATTCATCCTCAGCCCTCGGCCAAGGAGGGCACTTGTCAGACACACCAGGCTGGAAAACCGCCTGGCTGATCCCGACAGCAGTTGTTCAGGCCTCTGCACCTCCCTCCCCAGGAATCAGGACAAACGGGATCGAGGTGCCGCAGGGCCCCTTGATGCTACCCGCGGGAGTGGCTGTGCGGAGCTGCGGGCTGACCACATGCCTACTCCAGAGGAGGAGTCCTGGTGGGACCTGGAGCACCCCGCTGATGATCGGTGTTATCCCTGTCAGAGGGACAACGTACAGGCAGGGACTCAGAGCAGGGGTCTGTGCTCGCCAGCACATCCCAGGACCTGCTCCGCGACAATTCCCTAGGGAGTGGGCTTCATTCCCTTGCTCCTCAGGCACCGGTGACTGCTTCACACTGGAGTGAACACGCTTGCGGTGCCAAGGCTGCCCGGGCCGGGGGTGATCCACCTCCTGCTCAGRGGACACAGCTGCCGGGCACCCCGGTCAGCAGCACACACTGAACCCAGTGGGGCTTGGAGAGGAGAGCCGGACAGCTCACAGTCCGCTCCGAGCATCCCCCCGGGTCACATCCCCTCCGCCTGAGCGGGGCGGGCACAGGGATCCTCGGGGAACATTCGGCTCTGTCACCGCAGGGACATCAGGCGGGGACAAGCCAGGGACACCAGCTGACACCTTCCCTGGGCTAAGCGAGAGTCCCTGGGGCAGCTCCCGGCTCGAGGGACAGAGAATCTCCCCGGCCAGCCCCGCCTTGCGCTCGCCGCGGCTCCCCGGGCACGGAGCCCCGTCCCCATGGCGACCGCAGCGCGGCGGCGCAACCGCTCCCCGTCCTCCCCGGCCCTGGCGTCGTCCCCTCCCCGATCCTATCGCCGTCCCCGCCCCGGCCCTATCGCTGTCCCCGCCCCGGCCCTATCGCTGTCCCCGCCCCGGCTCTGTCGCTGTCCCCGCCCCGGCTCTGTCGCTGTCCCCGCCCCGGCTCTGTCGCTGTCCCCGCCCCGGCTCTGTCGCTGTCCCCGCCCCGGCCCTATCGCCGTCCCCGCCCCGGCCCCGCCCGTTAATCTCGGCATGGCGGCGGCGGCGGCGTCTGGCGGTGGCGGCCGGAGCTGCTTCGTGCTGGGCGCCTCGGGGGAGACGGGCCGAGTGCTGCTGCGGGAGCTGCTGGCCCGGCGGCTCTTCTCCCGGGTGACCCTGATCGGGCGGCGCCGGCTGACCCTGGGCGAGGAGGCGGAGACGGCCGTGGTGCGCGGGCTGGGGACGGGGTGGCCCTGGTGGCCGTGGTGGCCCTGGTGGCCCTGGTGGCCCTGGTGGCCGTGGTGGCCCTGGTGGCCCTGGTGGCCCTGGTGGCGGGCACCGGGGCGGCGGCTCTGACCCTCGGCCTCCCCGCAGGAGCAGGCGGTGGTGGATTTCGAGCGGCTGGGCGAGCACGCCGCCGCCTTCCAGGGACACGACGTGGGCTTCTGCTGCTTGGGCACCACCAGGGCCAAGGCTGGCGCAGTGAGTGGGGACCCCCCTGTCCCCCGGGCGAGCAGGGRTCCCGCTCGTCCCCTCCCCTGCCTGCCCGCTCCCTGCCCCGCTGACCCTCCTCTCCCCCCGCAGGACGGCTTTGTCCGTGTGGACCGGGACTACGTGGCGCAGGCAGCGGAGCTGGCGCGGGCGGGGGGCTGCAAACACTTTGTCCTGCAGTCCTCCCAGGGGGCAAACGCCCAGAGCCGCTTCCTCTACCTCCGCGTGAAGGTGAGGGGACAGCTGGGCTGGGCTCCTGATGCTCTGCAGGTGTCACATTATGCTGGGATGCTCGGGAAGGAAGCAGGAGCTGAGGTCTTGAGGTGCTAATGGCTCTGGGGGTCCTGGTGCTGGGGGACAAGGGAAGGGGCTGGCTGGACAGCTGTGAGACTGGCTGCTTCTGAAGCAGCACAACACCAGCACCTGCATGCAGCTTCTGTCTCCCTCTTCAAACCCCAGAAAGACCCGCTGGGGTCTCTAGCCCAACTCSAGCTCCTCAACCTTAAGCTGGGATGGAGCTTCTCAGCCACGTGGGGAGGCTCAGGGCTGTGTKCAGGTGGGACATGAACTATCCAGTGATGGAAAGCCCACAGGCTCCCCAGGTAGGACCACACCCATGGCAAAAGCTTTTCCTCCCTATGTTGTATGCTGCAGCTTCCACCACCTGCTGGACTCAGAGCTGCCTGGCAGCGTCTTGTGCCGGCTGGATCCATCCCCAGGCTGGATGCTGATCCAGATGCTCTCTGTAGCTGCCTGTTGCAGTTTAGCACGATGGTTGGATCCATCCCCAGGCTGGATGCTGATTCCGATGCTCTCTGGAGCTGCCTGTTGCAGTTTAGTGCGATGGTTGGATCCATCCCCAGGCTGGATGCTGATTCAGATGCTCTCTGGAGCTGCCTGTTGCAGTTTAGCACGATGGTTGGATCCATCCCCAGGCTGGATGCTGATTCAGATGCTCTCTGGAGCTGCCTGTTGCAGTTTAGCACGATAGTTGCAAGGGCGCGCTGCTGACCTGCGCTCTGTGTCCACCACGGCCACTCGCCCCCGCTGCCTGGCCTGGAGAGCTGACCCCTGCCTGGCCCGTTCCAGCTTCGCRTTGGCATTAGTGCCGTCCTGCCCACGGCTCAGCAGCTCTCTCCTGCCCTTTCACGGGGTGGCAAGGATAGTGCTTGCAGTCACCCTTGTCTCCTTTCATCCTGCGCGGCTGCTCTGACAGGGAGAAGTGGAGAACCTGGTCCAGGCTGTTGGTTTTGATCACTGTACCATTCTCCGGCCAGCGTGAGTAGCTGTGGAGGAGGGAGGGCACAGGGCTCGGGCGGAGGATTGCCAGGGCAGCAGGCTGGGAGATTGAGGAAGAGAAAGGATACATAARGGCAGGGCTGGGGAGGGAAGTGGAAAAAGCCCCCAGCTGCAAATGCAGCTCATGGATGAGCAGACTGCTTCCCAGTGCTGCAGGGAGCAAGCTCTGCAGTTTGCCAGGGCCTGTCCCAGTGCTAGTGCCATGTGCCATGCAGGTACAGGAGTCTTGGGCTGAAAGCATAGGTTGGGGCACTCAGATGAGAGCTTATCTCCACATGGACCTTAACCATGTACAGGGGGWACACTCACCTGTGTCCTCTCAGCTGTACTCTGCTCTTGCTGCCKAGGAGAGCTGGCATTCTGCTTTTGGCAGCACAGTGGCGGAAGGAGTTTATTGCCCAAGGGCTCAGCTCTGTCACGTTTCATGGCCCTGCCAAAACCCCAAAGCCCACGTTGGTTCAGGGAGCTGGTCTGGCCCTGGTGCTGCTGGAGAACCCAGTGTGTAGCCGTGCCCCAGGAATGGTGTCAGGCTGACCCACTTTCCCTCCTTGCTCTGCAGGGTGCTGCTGTGCAAGCGCCAGGAGTCCCGGCCCCTGGAGTGGATATCCCAGCAGTTCTTGGGTGTTGTGGCTCGGGTCTGCCCCACGGCTTACTCGGTGCCTGTGGAGACGGTGGCCAGGGCTATGGTGGCCTGTGTGCTGCAGCCAGGCGAGGGGAAGGTGAAGGTGCTGGAGAACGGGGCCATCCATGCGCTGGGAAAGGCAGTGCCACAGCAGGGCACATAGAGCAGAAGGGATGGCATGCAGGAGCTTGGTTCACCATCCGAATGCTCTTTGGGCTGRGGGTGAGCGCACGTGTGGGAGCGGTGTGGGGTGCTTGCATGGCCAGCATGGAGTCAGAGGTACCTCCACTGCTTTTTTGCACAGTGGATTCTGTCAAGGGATCAGAAATGGAGGTGGTGGCTGCTGGGTGAGCACAAACCACGTGCTCTGCTGCCTGGATCTATAACACAAATACGGGTAAAGATGGTGTAATCCAGGCCATGAATAAAACCTTATGACTGATCTGTTTGTGCCAGCTTGATGTTGAAATGATGCCTGTCACCTGCACATCAACACCCAGCCTCGTCTGCTCRGCTTGTGTCACCTCAGGGAATGCTCACAGGCAGGTGACAGACACAGGAGAGCGGAGCTGCCTGTGCAGAGGCTGGAGCTCGCAGAGCACACGGTGGCACCAGTGCTGCTCGGATAGCAGAGCTCATAAACGCTCACCAGCAGCTCCTGGGGCGCTGGGAGTGGTGGCTGTGCAAACACACAGCCTGTCCCCGTGTCCCCAGGGCCCGGAGGGACTGCTGCAGGGACACGCTGCTGCGCACACCTGGGCTGTCACTTGGTACCTTGCAGCACCATGCCAATACTTGCACTGACTTGTAAATGCTCATCCCTGCACCTCCCTCTGGGCTCTCCTCCCGCACACGAATGAGCCAGAGCTCAGCCCCGCATTCCTGGGAGCGCTCTGTCTGTGCAAAAGTCGAAGCCAGCCCTGTGCACGCCTGGGCTTTGCCCCTGCCCAGGTGCCAGAAGGGAGCAGGTTCCTTCCGTGGGTGTGCAGCAGGCACGAGGAGCGGTGCAGTGTCCCAGGCACGGCCCCAGCTGTTCTCAGGCCTYGTGCTCGAGGTCGAGGAACTCGGTGGCTCCACAGATGGGATGCAGAACATACGTGACTCCCAAATTCCCTGCTGGCCGCAGTCCCAGCGCTCCGGGTAACGCTGCTTTCCAGGATTTTCTCTGACCTCACCCGTGGCTCCTGTGTCAGTGACTTGGATGTGGCAAACAGAGGGAGCCTGGATCCCATCTCCTCCTTCTCCACAACCATTTCAGTCATTGGGTTGGTGCTGGCTGTGGGATGGCTCCTCAGCCGCATGTGGAGCTTTGTTCATAGGGGCACAGAGCCACAGCTGCTGATCAGGCTGTCCCAGTGAGAGCAGAGCTATGCCTTTAGAGCAGTATTTAATGCCCAGAGGGAAATGAGAGGCAGGATGGTCAGCATCATGTACGTTTGAGGAGCACGAAGCTGTTCACACCTGCAGCACTGGGTTACACAGCCACAATGCGCTCAACACTCAAACAGATTTTTTTAAAAGAGATGTGCTTATACAAGGGAGTGGAAATGAGCAGCTGAAGTGGAAAGATATTAATAGAAATTAAATTTGAGATAATATATTAAAAAAGAAGAATTCAAGCTCTGGAAAGTTACAGGTGAAAGGCAAGCCGCAGAAGACATGAGGAAAGCATCCTAAAGGCATAAACATGAGTTACAACCATGTGAGAAGCAGAAAGTTCTCCTGGGAGCCCAAGGACAGGATGTGATCAGGTTTTATAGGAAGGACAGAGCCATGACAGAAAGCCTTGATGAGTTACTGGCATTGCCCTTTGCTGTTAAGGAGCTCACTCTAGGATCATTCCTTAGGGGACACACATGACTATCCCAAAGCATGCAGGGGAAATAAAAATATTTTTAACCCCATTTTTAGAACACACAGTTAAAAGTCTGCCAGAAGGAGCACTCAGATGAACTGCCAGATGCTCTCCTGGGTGAGAATTGCAGCGATCCCTTTACCAAAAGGTCAACATTGTTAAAAATGATGCTAGTTTTTAAAAAAGTTCCAGTGGGAACCAGGAAACTGCAACGCGGCTAGGCTGCCTTCTATAAAAGGCACGTTGCTAGAAAGGATAATAAAGTCTGGAAATAACAGGGCCCAGGATAAATTGGGTGTAATGGGAGATTCCACGTGGCTTTGGAGGGGGCAGTTGCAAGGCACAAGCCTGGAGCACTCTCGGAGGAAATCAGCCATTGTGTACACAAGACAATCTGCTCCTCAGAGCGAGCTCAGCTCTCCAAAAAGCTCTCCCAGAAGGGCTCTTAAAGAAATTAAGCTGTCGTGGGAAGAAAAGGAAGGTCTGTGTAGTTTCTTTTTGGAAATATTTTCTTAGCACTCCAAAGCCTTGAAACACACAAAACAAACATTKCTTGCTGGACAAAGGTCTGCAGAAAACGAGAGCTATTTGTGTGTAACCCTTTTTTTCTGCTCAGTGGTAACAGTTTCTTTTCCAGCATTTCAGACAAATCTGAGTTAAAATGCACAGCTGCAATCCCAGCGCACTGTCTAGGTTCCTTATCACCCCCCCTGCACTGAGTTTGCTCACACATTTTGGATGTCAGTTCCCCAATTTGCTCTGTCCACTCCTTGAACTCCCACCCCAGAGCTTTGGAAGAGATTTTAGAGCATTGATCACTGAAAGGTGGCAGAGGGGATTTGCCCCTGATGTAGGTAAAGGAGATAAAAACCTTTAGGGGACAGACCCAGACCCTCCAGGGGGGTCACTGGGCAGCAGCTCAGCRCTGGGGGCTTCCCAGGAGATGCCGCTGTCCTTCCCAACCCTGAGCTGTGAGAAAAGCCAGCACTTCTGGCCCAGGCCATGCTGTCACCGGCTGCCCTCTGACCCTGGGGTACSCACATCTGCCAAAGCCTCCTGCAAACATCACCCCGCTTCAAAGGAGCTTTTCAAAGCAGCTCTGAGCTGGCAGGCACTGACCTGGCACTCGRTGACATCCTGGTGACATCCCTGCTAGCAAACGCGGGGCTCTGCCATGCTCTCCRGCCCCAAGGGCACTGGCACAGCCCCGCCATGGGCACAGGTTGCCAGGCTGTGTTCCTTCAGAGGGCAGCCCGGGAGATGGGGGCACCGAGCTCTGTGCCACCCCTGACTGGGTGAGGCACCTCCAAGAGAGTAACAACCTGCTGAGTGCTCTGGGAACAGGGCACAGCGACAGCAGCCAGCAAAGGTAAAGGACCTAAGGGACAGCCCACCACACCCTGGCTCTGATCCCCTGCCTGGGTGCCTCTGGGGGGCTCTGACCAGCCCAAGCCATTGCCATCTGAGCGTCTCATCTTGTGAAATTGTAGGCTGTGCTTCTTTTCATTCAGTTTCCACTCCCAACCAGCACAGAGCCAGCCCGAGTTCTCCAGGGAGGCACGGTTTCCAGCAGCCTTCCAGATTTCACTTCCTGCACTCTCATGCTGCAACACGGACGCTGCCTTGCTGCATTATCCCACAACAGGTCCAAAACCCAGCCAAGAGCCAGAGCCAGGCAGGCACAGCTCTGACACAGCACGAGAAGGGAAAGGGGGCTGAGATTTGAGCTTAAATAACCCTGGGCTGGGGACAGGTGGGGGGAGCTCAGGGAAATACATGATGGTTGTTAGTGCACCTGGGTGTGGACAGCCATGCTGGGAGCAAAGTCCCTGTTCCCAGCGTTCAACAAGGCCCAAGAATGGACATTTTTATTATCACCCAAGAGCCAAGGTCTGAAACAAAAATCACTGTGATCCACCAGCCGATAACTGCTGCTGAAGTTGTGGGTATTTTGACATTAGCCACAGTCTTGAAATCAACAGCAAGATTTCTCAAAGGCACTTTCATTCTACCAAAAGTACTATTTTTCACAGGAAAAATCTCACTTGAATGAAGYGTTTCTACCTGGCTCTTCTAATGTACCGACCTGGAGGATCATACATCATTAAAAGAAAATCTYTGGGCTTCCTGAAACCCCCCAAACAGCAGCTCGGCCCTTCCAATTCGATTACCTGATCTCACCCCAGAAACTCCACATTTTTTTCCCCCCCCCGTGTGAGCTTAGAGAGAAGAAAACAAAATCCAGAAGCCGGCGGGGCCGGGGCCAGCTGCAGCAGGCCAGCCGGCATTGGACACGGGGCTGGCGGGGCTCCAGCTCCCGGCGCTATATAGGAACGAGAGGGGGAGCCGGGCTGCAGAYCGAGCTGTTGCTGCCTGCTTTAGCCATCACTCACACCCTTCTCACGGCCCGGGAAACTACAGCCTGCCAAGATGTGCAAGGGATTAGCAGCGCTGCCCCACACGTGCCTGGAGAGGTGAGAGCGGCCGCGATGTGCGGGAGGCCAGGGGCGGCTGGGGGCTCTTCCCACAGCACATCCCCGCCGCGGGCATCTCTCACGGGGACGGGGATTATCCTGCCCCTGGCTGGGGGTGGGTGCTGCGAGGGGCTGGGATCCTCGGAGGGATGAGTGCTGGTTCAGTCCCAAACTCCCCACTCTGCCTCGGGAATCTCCCCGCTGGGTGAGTCTGGGCTGCTCCAAACCCACCCCTCCGCCGTTCGGAGCAGGGGCGCTTTGTCCTCAGATCTGAAGTTTTGCAAAACACGGAGGAGGAGAGGAGGAAAAAAGGACAGAGAAGTTTTGGGTTTTTGAGGCAAAAGCAGTCCTGTCTCCAAAGTGCCTCCAAATCCGATTTWAACTGCGTGTTGCTCGCACACGGAATAGCCAGACCTGGCCCCTCTGATGAGGATCAGGTCTGTACAGAGCAACAGCTCTGCCCCCCTTGTGGCACCCATCCTCATCTTCAGCCTCATCCACCCTGGTGCTCGCCCCAAAACCTGCTTCTGATGGAGCCTCCCAGGCTCCTGTCAAACCTTGGGAGCCCAGGCAGGCTCCAAGCCCTGACCATTTCCCTRCTGATTGTAACCTGCCCTCTCCTCTGCTCCATGGGCTTTGGAGAAGCAGAGGTGCAAAGCACTTGGGCTCTTGCTGCATCAGCAGGGCACTCGATATTCACTAAGGAGGAAACTTGTAAAGCCTTTTACTACATGGATCCATCAATGAGGATTTCCTCACACCTGCAAATGCCTCAGCGTTGGTTTTTGGATGAGGGTGACRGTGGGACATTCACTGTCCCGAGGGGAGCTCCAGAGAAGTCCCAGTGAACTTGTATCASTAGAGGCTGATGCTGCTTGCCCCAAAGGTGAATTCTTATCACAGGAACAGACAGGAGCATGGACCCGTGACAGTTCCTTAGCTGGAAACCTGTCTTTCAGGCATCCTCAGTAATCCATGTTCCCCTTGCCACAGGCAGCCAAAAGCCCTCTTCCAGCTGTGGGGAAGCCCTCTTCCCCATATTTCTGCTCTGCTACCACCCTCGTTGTCACTCATCTGACACTTTCTAGTACTAATTTTTTTCAATAAAGGTTTTCTCCCACTGCTGCTATGCTGATATTTTCATCTGCCGTGCCCTCAAATCCTCACTCTTGAAGGCACCCTTTGACACAGTCAGGACTGCATTTGTCCCACGTGCCTCACCTTGTATTGCTCTTTGAGCCTTCACCAGTGTCACGAGAGCGTCCTGCAGCTCCTCACAGCTTGTCCCCAAGTGCCACACCTGCTGTTTGGCCACTGACCCCTCCTCTGGCTGCTTGTGCTGTTGAATGCACGGTCCCAGCCTGCATTGCCCCAGCCCCATCCCCACAGCGGTGTGTCACCTTTCCCASGCTGTCATCCCTGAGATGCCCTTCCCCCTGCAGCTGCCTGGGGTCTCTCTCTGGAGAGCCCACCCAAGGTCCCCTGCAGGCCCAAGGGCTGGTAGCCCCTGCCTCTCCCCACAGCACGTGTTTGCTGGCCTCTTCWGAGGGATGAGAGGTTGAAAGGAATCTCTTCCTAGGGCCAGGGCTGCCTTGACTGCTCTCCAATAGACCATATTTGTGCATGTGTCCACCACGGGGCTGCCACTGACGTGCCCATACAGCATCACCCKTGCAGCTTTATGGCTCCTCAAATCCCCTCTGGAGCCTTTTTCCCGTCAAGGGGCATTTCCTCTGGCACCTCCTGCCCTTGGGCCCAGCATCACCTTTAGCTTTCAGCTGTGGCTTTAAACTCCTTCGAGCTTCTATTTTTGTTTTGTTTTTAAAGCCAGAGCCTCTCCTGGCCCTCCCCAGCAGTCCTTCTTGCTCTTGATATGTTTGACAGAGCCCATATTTTCTATTAATGCTTCTTGGAAGCTATTTCTCAGACTTTTTCTTGGCTTGCTCCCATATGTTCTCACAGTTAACCTTCCACCRTTTACAGTCCTCTTGCTTTTTCTCACTCGCCTATAGGGGGGTTGGTTTTTTTTTGAAAGATGCCTTTTTTGTTTATAGCTGCCTTTTYCCCCTGCTGTTTAGCCTTCTCTGAAGCCTTGCTTGAAAGCTTGTAATCCATTTGCTGTAGAATGCCAGGATGGTGTCTTTAAATAGCCYTTCCCTCCCTCAGCCTGCAGGCTTTCAGCCCTCTCCTGTCCTTCCTCGATTCTTTTTAACAACTTTCCTTATCTCCACGGATTTCACRAAGGTCCCACTGCCAGGGGGGAGGTTCTTGCTGCTGTCCCCACACCTGCAGGGCTCCAGCTCTGGACTGAAGCACTCCTCTGCATTCTGTTTATTTATTAGAGCCAGCAGGACCAACAGCAGCATCCCAGACACCTCAGTGTGGGAGCGGGGCGACCTTGTCACCCTTTTCCTGAGCTCCTGGCCTTTCTGAGGCTCAAGTTTTCTCAGAAGCACCAGCAATGGAAACTGTTCCTGTGGCTGCTGATGTTGTCCATGAAAACATTTGGGTTTGTGGGYGTGTGTGCCCCATGCTATCCACCCACAGTGGGGTCTCTGTGCAGCCCCAGGCTGGGGTTGCCCCCTCTGTCTACTCCTGATGCCCCCATCCATGCTAGGGGGGCTGCTCAGAGGCAGATTTCTGCAGCAGAAGTGGGGTTTCTGCAGCAGAAATGGGGTTTCTGCAGTAGAAATGGGGTTTCTGCAGCAGAAGCTGGCAGGGAGCAGAGCAGACACCCCTGCACCGTGTCTCCAAATGTCACCCATGGGGACTGGCGAGTGGAAACCAAAACACAGCCAGAGAGTTTTACAAGGAGGGGGGAAAAAAAAATCAAAGGAATTGAAATGAAATAGCAGACATAGCAAGGGAGCCGTCGTCCACAGAGGGCTTGTGAAAATAAACAGCAGGGAGGAAAATTGCAGGAGCCCTGAAGACAGGGAGCTGCAGCCTGGCTTTGCCAGCCGTGCTGAAAGCCCAGCCCAGCTGGCCTGTGAGGAGTGATGTGTCCCCTCTCCTTCACCCCTGTGCCAGCAAGATGACCAGGRAGCCAAATGTTGCTGTGCCAGGGAAAAATCCTGCAAAGATGGGATTTGGGGACCTGCTTTCACCTCTTTATTTCTTCAGCCTGAGGCAGCACACCGGAGTGCTGCCTGCACAATCTCGGCTTGCTCTTGCTCCTTGAGCTGCAGTGGAGGGGAGCAGTTTGAGATGCTCAGGACCTCATTACAAATTGTATTGCACAAAAGGGAGCATTTTGGGACACAGCTGGGCCTGCTGTCAAGCCCCAGGAGCCCCTCTTTTCCCTGCTTCCTCCAAGGGGAGGTCAGGAGCATGGCCTTGGTGCAGTGGGAGCTGGCRCTCAGCCTGTGGCACCTGAAACCTTCCTTGCCCCTCTGCCCAGAGAAAGCCGCACCCAGGAGGTGCCAGTTTACAGAACCCTTCCTTTGCARATATAAGGCTTATATATCACTCATAAACATGCTATACATGTCTGTATCTATATCCCTGAGGGCTCTGAATGCTGCCAGCAGTGTGGGGCTGGTGGGATGGCACCATGGGACAGGTGCCACCCTCTGTGCCACCCAGCACGGCACCGGCACAGCCTGCTCTGCCAAGGAGCTCCTTCACCTCCTCACCAGCACGTCCTCAGGCTCATCTCCAGAGACTGAGCACTGCACACACATCCCTAAATCGGCCCCAGAGCAGCCTGAGAGCCCTGCTGATACAATTATCCCGGCCCCAGATGGGGACAGAGCGAGGAGATGAAGATCAAGAGCCGCCGCTAATGCGCTGYGCCCGTTTTGAAACACCGCAGCCAGGCACGGCATTAGGGCCCATTAGCTCATCTGGAATTAATTAGGGGTGGGTGCAGGGCAGGGACTGTGAGTGTCACACTGCCCCGTCCCTCTGCCTGAGCTGTCCCTGCTCCTCCCCTCCTGCAGGGCCAAGGAGATCAAGACGAAGTTGGGCACGCTGCTCCAGAAGCCTGACTCGACCATCGACCTCATCATCCCGTACCCGGAGAAGCCGCCCAAGGCCCAGAAGTGAGTGTTGCACTGGGGCAGGCTGCAGGTGTGCCCGTGCCCAGCCAGGGGGGTGGGCACAAGCCCTTTGGGATGCAGAGGAGCTGAAGCCCTGCTCTGGGCTGGCACAGCAGGCTCTGTGTGGCACGCTCCTCGGGACCTGCCTGCCAGGTGCAGGCTCAGGAAGCTGTGTCAGGGCAGCAGGGGACATGCCAGGCAATACAGCTCTATGGAAACTAGATTTCCCATGGAAACTCAATTTGCTGTTGATGAGATTTCATGTTATTCGATAAAGGTTTTCCCAGAGGCGTATGGCACTTGGAGCTCTCTGAGTCACCYGCCTCAGCCTAGAGGTGCCAGCCTTCACAGCTGTCCTGCTCTGGGGTGGCAGCGTGTCCCTGAGCTGGGTGCATGACCTCATGGCACCATGCCTGGCTTTGGGCAGCCTCCTGATGGTGGCACGTCCTCACCTTACGGCCTTTGGCTTGACCATGGCTCTCCAGCACTGAGCTGGTGTAAAATACTAGCTCATCAACTCTATTTAGAGCACATGAAACATTAATTATTTTGCCTGCTAATCTGGGGAGTGATAYGGAAGGGGACATGTGCCAGCACAGTGCCTGCCACTGCAGAGAGAACCGCCCGTGGCAGCAGGGCTGGCAGAGCCCCAGTGGATTGTGTGGCTCGCTTTCTGTCACTGCTGTGCCCCAGATGCCTCTGTGACAGACACATATTTGTCTCCATTAGCCATCCCTGCAGAAAACCAGGGAACATCCCGCTCCCTGCTGTCTGGGGGAGTTGTTTTCTCCTCCGCTGCATCACTGCCCAGCCCTGGCATCGCTCACCTGTCAGCATCTCACTCGCAGTTACCATCATCCCTGGGACATTCAGATAATGGCAAAGTGAATTTGGTGGTTTCCAGGAAATCTGGATTGCATTAGGCTGCTGCAGTGATGCTCCTCCTCATTGGGGTGAGAAGTCACCTGTCAGGGACAGGGGGGCAGGGAGAGCTTTGATCCTTGATTGAAGTGCAGACACAATTTGAGGCCAGAAAGCGAAGGATCAGAGCCCCCATTGGTGACAAGTGAGGGCTGGTCACCCTGGCAAGCCTGGCATCCCTGCCACTCTCCTCTCCTTGCTGCAGGGAGTGGAGATAGTCCCAGCCAGCCCAGAGCTCACAGCCAAGCAGGGGGGCTTCCCTTGTCCTCCAGCCAGCGCTGGGAGAGACGCAGGGAAGGAGCTGTGAGCCCAGGGCAGCTTGGTCAAACTCCTTGGGGCTTAATGAAACAACAAAAAAAGCCACCCAGAAAAAAAAAAAAAAAAGAAAAAAAAAAAAAAAAAAAAAAAAAAAAAAAAAAAAGGAGGAAAAAGCGTGCAGATGGAAAACACTGGAGGTTTCCAGTGCGAAGGGCGCTGGGGTCAGTGACCCTCCGTGCTGCAGGGCGTGGGAACGGGGCGGGCGGGCTGTGGGAGCCGAGGGCGCTGACCCGGCCCCGGCACGGCCACAATGACCAAATGACCAAACCCCCGCGGCCCCAGCAGGGAGCACCTTCCCCCGGGCACAGGACAAGGCAGGGATGCTTCCCAGCCGCCCGCAGAGCCCCTGCACTGCCCTCCCCTCTGMGGGTGCWGAGGGACRAGGACACCCTGGGGACAYAGGGGACATGTTTCGAGGCTCAGCCCGGTCTCTGCTCGAGCACGGGGCGGTTTGCCCTCCCCACCCCAAGCTCACCCTCCCCGGCACTCAGCCTGCCCCGGGAGAAGGGCATCCGTGCTGGGTTCCATCCCCAGAGCACTGCCTCTGCTCTGAGAGTCTCTGCAACTTGGTATTCAGTTTCTCCCATTTTTAAAGGAATTATTTTAAAGGAGTTATTTTAAAGGAATTATTTTAAAGGAGCCCAGACTGGGGCTGTGAAGTGAGCATGGGCAAGCTGGGCTTTCTTTAATCTCTTCAGGCCATCTCCGGAGGAGGCTCTGCAGTGGCGCGATTCCTTGGAGAAGCTCCTGCAAAACCCCTGTAAGTTCACATCCCCCTGTGATGGGTCACCTCCCCTCTTCCCACGTCCCCTGGGGTGCTCAACAAGGGCTCACCCCTCCCTTGCCCCYCAGATGGGCTGGCCAGCTTCCGCAGCTTCCTGCGCTCCGAGTTCAGCGAGGAGAACGCCGAGTTCTGGGTGGCCTGYGAGGACTACAAGAAAACCAAGTCCCCCGTGAAGATGGCAGAGAAGGCCAAAAAGATCTATGAGGAGTTCATCCAGACCGAGGCACCCAAAGAGGTCAGTGGCCACGGGGCAGGAGATGGTCCTGGGAGGGATGAGGCTGCTGCCCTGCCAGTCTCCATCCCAAAGGAGAGAGATGGCCACAGGGCACCCGGTGCCATGGCAGAGGGGCTCGGAGAGCTGYACCCTTGTTCAGGGCAGCCCCTCCCCACATGCTGCACTCACAGCCCTGATGCCCTTGTTGCATGCTCAGCCTCTGCTGAGCTGGCTCTTGCCACGGGCAGCCCCAACAACCTTTCCCCACAGAGGGCTGACATAAATCACAAGAGATGACAATGTCCAGTAATCCTCCTACCCAAGGTAGCTTTGCAGCACTATAGAGCTCATCCTGACAGCTTTGCACTGATAATTCTTCCAGAGAAATTAACCTGTTTTGGTCCCTCCCCTCCCTCTCCGTGTGACTGTTGGTGGGACAGAGCAGGYGAGGGGAGATGCCATCACTCCCCCCTCCAAAGGCTGGGTCCCATCCCTCTCACACTCCTGTCACAGGTGAACATCGACCACTTCACCAAGGCTGTGACCATGAAGAACCTGGTGGAGCCGTCACCAACCAGCTTTGACATGGCCCAGAAGAGGATCTTTGCCCTGATGGAAAAAGACTCCCTGCCCAGATTTGTGCGGTCGGAGTTTTATCACGAGTTAATCAAGTAGCGATGCGGCAGGGCTGWGCCAGGCATCCCCACTGCTTCTGTCCAAACACCTGCTCCTTCTCCTGCAGCCGCTTTGCTTTCTCCATGCCACCCTASAAGAGCACCCAGGGGTGTTGCTGAACACCTCCCCCCGTGCTTTGGACTGTCAGATGTCCTGGTGTTTCCTCTCTTAGCATCTCTTTCCTCTCCCACAACAGACCAATTCACAGAAATCCTTGGATTTGGGACCCAGAAGGGTGAGGGAGCAGCCCCAGCTCCGCAGTGACCAGGAGCCCTTGCCCAGCTGGCACATCCCTGATGCTGCAGAGTTCGTTGTTATCTGGAGGCTCTGAGGTGCCAACTCTGCCTTCAAAGGGCTCTTCATGACATGAAAATTTTTCTCCCATTTGTTTTGCCACATTTGTTTTCTCCCATTTGTGTTGCCCATTTTGCTGGTTTGGCCCAGGCTCGCTCCCTCCTCCCAAATTCCCGGAGTGCTGCTGACACTGCTTAGGTACCCTCAGGTGCTCCCATCCCTGGCCAWGGCGCGGGTGAGACACGTCCACGCCTGATTGGCATCACCTTGTCTTGAGAAAGCAGCCAATCATCAGGGACAGTGACAGCTGGCAGGGACAGGGGCACGGCAGGGACAGCAGTGACACCGTACAGCAGAGATGGCACTGTGACACGCTCGGCAGGGACAGCTGTACGGCAGCGCCGGGTGCCGCGGGGGGCAGAGCGAGCCTGTGGCACTGCTTCCCAGCAGCTCTGCTCAGAGCAGCCTGTTTGCTTCACCCTAAATACACAACCAGARGATAAACGAGACCTGCTGGTCCAAAACACCGGGGCTGTTTAGCAAGCCAGACCTCCTGCTCTCTCCAGCCTTTGCACGGAGCCCCCAGCTCCCGGTGTCCCAGTGTCACTGCACTGCTGGGACACTGGGGTGTGCTGGGTGCCCCAGTGTCACTGCACACTGGGGTGTGCTGGGACAGCTGGGCAGCTCTGGGAGCTGCTCCGGGGCTCTCTTGCTCCTGCTGCTTCTCTCTGCAGTAGGCACACCAAGGCAATGCTTCTGCACAAACCCAACAGAGGGGCGCCGAGCACAGGAGGGAGGAAAGAAATCCGAATTCYTTCATAATGCTGGGGGGAAAGAAAGCTGAAATTCCAGCTGTTCAGATCCAATTTGAAAAAATGCAAAACAAACTCAAAAAAACAAACTCAAACAAATGATTGGAAAGGTGAAGAATGATGCCCTGGCTTGTAGAACAGCATGTAGACTCTGCTGAGTTTGTACAGCCTGCATCCCTCTCTCCTGTCTCCTCCCATCTGCCCAGGACATGTTTCCATAGCCTGTCTCTGAAAGGACCAGCTGTTTTCCAATGGTTCAAAGCCAGCCCCCTGCTAACAGAATAAATCACACCTGAGGATGGGGCAAGGCCATACACGAAAAGCAGCTGGGGTCTCATTTCAGCCTTGAGGGAAATGTGCTAAACCCCCTGCTCCATGGGGCCTGGATGGTTCACCCCTGTGTTGGTTTCCTGGTGAATCATCCACAGGGTCATGGCTTGCAAAGAGCCGCTTCAGCTGGCAAAGTGACAAATGCCAGCAAAACAGCAAAATATCCATGGCTGTGCTGCCCCTAAAGTCACCCTAAAGCAGCCCCCTACCCTGGGCTGCTCAGCCTCGCTGCGAGTCATGGGACTCCATGCAAAACGCAGTAACGTAAACAACGGATTTGCCAGCCTCTTCCAGACTCTCAAAATCTGATCAAAACCCCACCAGCCCCAAATATTTACACGTTGTCACTATGGCGATGAAGAAAAATACATCCCGAGCCGCAGGAAATGGGCTGTGTTTTCCAGGCAGGAGTGGGGAGGCAGGCGAAGGATGGGGGCCGTCACAAACGTGACTCTTTTTTTAAGCTCTGGAGCAAAAGGCCTGGGAAAGTCGGTGCTGGAGCAGCAGGGGTGATGCTCACAGGCATTTCCCTGGGGTGGATGCAGAGGGTGGCCCTAAAGAGCCCGAGAGRGCCCGTGAGCAGCAGGAGGGTCCCATCAGAAGGGCACAGGACACCCCAGCAGTGCCCACCATTGAGGTGGGCAGCGAGGGGGAGGCAGCAGCAGGGCTGGGTGTGGGATGGRGGCTCAGCCAGCCCCTCTGCTGTGGATGCTCCCCCCACCTCTGCCTGCACACACTCCCTGCACCCTCCCAAATTTCCACCAACTGGTGTCGATACAAGTGGGATCAGCATGTTCAAGCTCCTCATTCACAGCGTGACTCAGAAATGCAAAACCGAACAGGCTTCCTCGCAGAAAGACCCGGATCTTTCATTTCTGCTTAATCCTTTGGCAGCTATTTCCAGATTCCCTCACTCGTTTCACGGTTCAGTGCCGCCGCCACCAGCGCMGTAAGGCCGGGATGCTGCTGGAGGCTCAATTGCCACGCGCCATCAAACCCTGAGACGTCACTGCTGCGGCAGCGACACGCGGGGCGGGGAGAAGGTGTCTAGGTATGTATGTGCTGAAAAGAAAGGCGTAGGCTGGATTCAGGAGAGATGGGACAGCTCTGTTGGAAACCCCTCCCTGGCTCAATTTCTGCTAAAMTGCTGGAAGTCTGCTTTGGGGGATGCCAGTGATCTGCTACGTGGCTGTAAATTGTGGCCACTGAAGCGTTTTTTTGGAGCTCTTGGGAAGTTGTGTTTGTGTAGAAGGGTCATTTGGCTAATTACTTGGGCAGGCTTGCCCAGAAAGGTGGCAACACCTGTACCAACCCCATGGCCCAGCTTTCCACAGGCCTGGAGGTATTTACCTGATGCCAACCATCATATCTCTGGTAGGAAATCCTTCCTGTATTTTATCACTGTAGCTCTCATGAAGTTTGGCTCATATAGCTCTATATACACAGCACGTACATCCATATTCCTATAGCCATAAATGAATATACACACACATATACACACCTGTAAYGTGGGCAATGGAGCCCCTGGCAGCCACAGAGCCAGAAAGCAGAGTTTCTGGATACACTGCTTGGGATCCATCACGGAGATGAGGGTGCCTTGGTTTGGTGAAGTCCCAGACCCTGTTGAGGGATACCTTGGCCATTCACCTGAGCAAACACAAAGGTGCATCTTCCAAACAATCCTCTGGAATGCTCACCCTGTGCCCGTGGCTGCTGTGTGCCATCTGGGCTGGTGCAGGAGGCAGGTCTCGTGCTCCCCCARGGACCCCAATCCTGCCGTGGGGCAAGGCAACCCCACGCTGCAGCGGGGCAGGGGCACCAGGCACTGCTTCCATGCCTCCCTGCCATGGGTACAATGGGAAAGGGTTCCCTGCAGCTGCAGCCCTCAGGTGAACACCAGGGGATGTTTTGTTGTATGCTTTATGGTCACTTCAGCCACCCGGAGCGTCGCACCTTGTCTGTCAAAGGGGGAACTACCCAGCTCTTGCCCAYGGGCTGAGGCTGGGCTCTGCCAGTGTGCCCAGTCCCAGCCTTGGGCACTGCCAAAGCCCAGTGGCTGAGGGTGTCCYAGAGCTCGTCCAGGCTCCCTCAGGCCTTGGTCACTCGCTGGAGGTGCTGCACACTGTGGCCAGGGGCTGCAGCAAGGTCAGGAGRGCGCATCAGTCCCCCACACCCGTGAGCTGCAGGTTTTCAGTTTGAAGTTCTCCATGGGATTTCCGCTGGAGGTCTTCACGTGGGGAAGATGTGAGGTGCTGGTGTGCACYGAGGAGCTGTGTTAACCCATGTTCATGTACCACTCAGTAATCCTCACATAAACATGTATTTCTGCTACTGTCTCAGTGGTCTTTTCCTTGTGTCTCTTTGCACTGAAGGTGCAGCATTTTCTTACATGCTACAGAACACYAACAAAACACATGCCCAAAAGCTCTGGCAAGGCCAAAAGCCTCTGAGAGCTTCTCCTGCAATGATTGCTGTGGTTTCTCAGTAAACTGGAATGGGAATCACCCTAGGGAGCTGATCCAGAAGAAACACCCCAAGGCCAGCACAGCACAGGCAGTCCCAGCCCYGCTGCTGCCCAGGCTTTGGATCTCAGGGTCAACCCCTGCTCTCTGCACTCAGCAGTGCTGCCCCAGGGTCTGGGGCCGAGCGAGGGCCAGCCCTGCTCTCTCCACTCACAGGGCTCAGCCCAGGGACAGCCTCTGCTTTCRGATAAAATGTGTCTTCCTCTGGAGCTCAGGGCTGGAAGGCACCTGTAGCAAAGAGGGGCTCCTTGATGTTCCCCACTCCAGAGCTGTCACCCCAGACCCTCGGCAAGGATGGACAATCCCCATGTTAAATGATGGTCAGGAAAGCCATGGACCCATAAAAAACCCCATCCCCCAGGCTCATGGTGCTGAAGGTATCTGAAGGATATAATTGTTGTTGTTTCATGAGCTATTTCATCTTTCTGTGACTCAAAACAATCTCTGAGTGAAGCCACCTGCAACGTGACTTTTCAGAGCAACCTCATYCAACAAATCAGATCTCCATGCATTTCCTTTTGTTCACACCATGGCATCTCAGAAGGGACTAACGCAAACATTTTTATTTTGAATGCATTCATCATTATTTAAATATTGATACAGTTYTTGCAATAGTTATCAAGAGTTCCCAGTACCAGGGGAAAATAAAACATAGCCACATGCTTGGCTATGTTGAGCACTTTAGCAAGCCTCTCCATCTCTTAGCTGAACATGCATGGTGATATGTGTTGGTACATTGGATAAATACAAAATAAAGCACATGTTAAAAAAAGAAGTTTCTCTGCRGGCCTGGAGAGCCACAGCCTCCTCCTGCCATGCCAAAACCCCGGGTGAGAGCTGTTGTCTGGACTGGGATGCAGAGCGCAGGATACACAGTGGCCAGAGCAGCAATAYTGAAGGAAGGAGAGACCGAGGGCTGGGGGCAGTGAATTCCTGRTCCTGCAGCTGTCTCCTGTGCATCCAGCTGCAGCTCAGAGCCACAGCCCATGGCACAGGCCGTGTCTGACCACAGCAATCAAACTGTGAGCTGCCTTCTGGCAAAGCCCCGGAGCAGGGATGAGATAGACGCATCCCTGCTACCATCCTCAGGAAAAGTGAGCCATGCTGCTACTGAAACACATAAAGAACACCATAAAAACCCCAACGTTTTCGAGTACTCCTGAGCAGAGCCTTTCCTCCCCAGATGATGTGGTCCTATTCTCTCACAAACTGCTCCTTACAGGCCAGGACAGGCAAACCTGAATCCAAATGGCACCCCCAGAGTCAGGAATATACACCCGTCAGTCTGGGAGAGAAGAAACATGTTGCTGTTCTGCTGAAGTATTTAACCTGGGAGCACAAAGGTTAATAACACAGGAAATGAGGAGCCTCSCCCGAAATGCCAGCTCTGTACAGCCCTAGGGAAGATCCTTGGCCAGCACAGACGTGGTGCTACYGAGGGAGCAGCGGCCAGAGGGAAGAGCTTCCCTGTGATGACCGAGGGAGGCTGAGCTTCCCTGCGGCTGTGGCTGTGATGGCCAAGGGAGGCTGTTTGAAAAGTTTTGGTCTCCCTTCAAGAAAGRGTAGGAGCTCTTCCTGTGCCTGGTACTGCAATGCAGCACAGCCTGAGCTCTGAGCAAACACTCCTGACAGCCTGGGCATGCGGGAGCTACCAACAGCTAAGGACCAGAGCCAATCCTTTTCACCTCAGCTTCTGCAGATTCGCGAGGGGAGATCACAGTCCCCAGTACTTCCCTCGGCTTCCTCTTTGMCCTGCACCTGTCCCAGAGTGACTGACCCCCGTGGGCAGTGCCAGGGCTGAGCCTGAGCTGCCCTGCACACGCTGTGGTCACAGGGCTCKGCAGAGCCCCGGCGCCACGCAGCCACTGCGCCCAGCTCTCCCGCCAGACCCCAGCACTCCTGCGCCCACCGAGCCCGAGGAGGGTTTGCTACACACACTGAGCCTGGATGGGGTTACGAATGCTGGCTGCTGCATGACATGGGACACAACTGGGACATTAGACAGCTATTGGAGACAGCTCTGCTGCTTCATGCCAATGAATGCTTTTGCTGCCGTGTGTTCTGGCGAGAGCCCGGCCCACCCCTGCCTYGCTGCAGGCTCAGGCGCACTGGGAGATGATGTTGGAGTTGCAGTCTAAGGTGTGAGCGTGGTTCCTTTTGCAGTTTTCGGGCCTGCAGCCAGCACCAGGGGGGCTGACCAAGTCCAGRTAGTACGGGGACTTGAGGAAGCGGCGGTAAGAATCCTTCTCCATCAGGGTGAATATTTTTCTCTGAGCCTCATCAAAGCAGGACAGCGTCGGCTCCAGCATGTTGTGGCTTGTCTTCTCACGTGTGCACGAGTCCAAATTCACCTGTGGGCCAARGGGACAGCGTGAGTAGAACCTGTCCCACAAGTGGCATGGGAAAGGGAAAACCCAAGTGTCTCTCTAGCTCTCTACCACGTGTGCTTGGTGAGCAGCTGTCTGGAATGGCCCTGCAACCCCAGCAGGGTCCGTGCAGCTGGACACCAACGCATCCCTGCCACCAGAGCTGTCAGGGGACACTGACACACACCCCTCCAGGATGCAGCCAGCCTGGCAACTCCAACTGCAGGGGAGCAGCTGGAACACTGGGAATCACAGTCCTCTTGGGCTTCTCTCATTTAAGTGTGCACATGGAATGGCCATGTATTTGTAACTAAGTACACTTTCTGTCTATCCAAGTTTAATACAAAAGCAATAGAAAGACACCATGWCCTTGCTAACTGGCAGAGAGGCAGCAGTCTTCATCTCTTGTGAAACTGCTGATTTCTGCTTCCCTGTGCTGCTGGTTCCAAATTCAGGGTGGTTCCTTGGCCCAAGGGATGCTGTGTGCACGTACCTCTTTTGTGGCCTGCACTGAGATGAACTCATCATAGATCTTCCTGGCCTTGGGGCTGAGCTTGGCTGGAGACTTGGTTTTCTTGTACTCCTCACAGCTGACCCAGAACTCGATGTTTTCCTCGCTGTACTCAGATTTGAGAAAAGCCCGGAAAGCTGCCAATCCTCCTATGGATAGTTTAAGGAAAAACCAGGTCAGGTAAGAGTGTTGACCCCTGGACAGTGGTACCCCCAAATCCCAGCACAAAGCGATTAAGAGCTCTCATTCCCAGAGCTGAAAGAGGAGCTCCCCTGGGGCTAGCACTGGGGACAGCTCGTGCACACCAGGAATTCAGACAGGCTCCGTGGGGACATCACACGTGGGGTCCTAGCTGCCTGTCCCCCACGGTGACCTCCAGTGTCCCAGCCAGTGGAAYGCAAGCAACTCATGAGCTCCCAGGAGGCCTTGAGGAGACAGCCAGCATGCCCCACAGAGTCTCAGACCATGGGAACAATGTGAAGGAAACCTCAAGGACATCAGCGCAGCCCGCAACTGATGGGAAGACAAAGTCTCCCATGGGCTCAGCTGCAAACAATGTCTCCACTATTTGGTTCTTTTTTAACCCAGCATTAACTGYGTGCCCTGTTCTTGCCCTCCCCTTGCACAAGGCTAAATCAACTGCCTTCACAAAAGAGACAGCTCAGCAGTCAGTCAAAACCACACTTGGGGTGCCTTGGAATTGCCCCTCGCCTTGGATTTGAGCAAGAGACCCTTCCCCAGCCCTCCCAGAGGTCTTTGTGGCCAAAGGAACCCCTGTGTGACCCTAAGGGACTTAGGGCAATGTCCCATGTCCCCTCCCAGGGCTGTTCATAGCACCAAAGCTCTGCAGGCAGCGTAAGAGCCCTCTTCACTTACTGTCATGATGGATCAAATTTTCCAAAGAGTCTGCCCATTTTCTGACTTCCTCTTGGCTAAGCCTGAAAGGAGACAAAGGGAGAAACCCAGGGATGAGTTAGAGTACAGAAGGGACAAATTTTGCCTGTTTCTCAGCATCACTAGGAAATCTTTTTCCCTGAYTGTTGTAAGAGCATACACGAGAGACCAAGGATGGCATAGCAGCTTGTTGTACAGATACCCCCCGGGATTCCAGATCTAACCTACAGAAATTTGGGGTTGCAATTCCCCATCACCAGCTGCGGGCTAGAAAGGATTTTTCCTGGAAAAACTGGTGTGGAATTTATATTTATTTCGTGCCTGGCTTCATCTCTTGCTGGAGCACAGACCTGGAATCACTCTTACAGGTCATATCAGTGAACTCCACAGGGCTSATTCCTTAAAGATGCCAGGGGAACAGCAGCTGTGTGCAAGAGAGAGGAATGTGGGAACTAGAAACACATGGGGAACATACCCTGCATTCATTCCCCCTACCACACTAGAACATCCTGGGGCTCATCTGTTCCAGGAGCAAACCTTGGCTTTTGGAGTCCTCTTTGGAGAGAGAACACTGTCTCCTTGCACCTAAGGGAGAGCAGCGGTGCCCTGACAGGCTGCTGGCTGTTTTCTCTGTGCAGCTKAGTGGATCACTGCACAAACCCAGCTCTGAGAGGTGGCGATGCTGATTCTGCAGTGTGTCCAGTCAGATTGGTCTGGCATGGCCTCATTCCCCTGTGCAGGAGACTGCACATGYCCTCCCGTGTACACATTCATATTGAATCACAGCAGTGTGGGTAGGGAGGGACCTCTAGGTCAGCATTCTTCATGGAATTGAGGTCCTCGGGTGTTCATGGTCAGCTGACAGGATTATCAGCACYTGAGGATTGTTGCCACACCGGATTAAAGGTGTTCTGGGGCAACTAGGGAGCAGCAGCAGAAACACTAATGGGGTCCAGCTCGGTGAAGGAGCAGCCAGTCTGGGATTAACAGCATCTGMTCTTACCTCTGGCTCGAGGAGATCTTCTCCTTCTTGCTCTGGGAAGAGCTGTAGTCACAGGARTCTGATTTCTGCAGCAAGAAGCCCAGACGGTGCTTCATGTCTTTGGCACTGAAAGGAAAAAAATCAAGAAGGAGATGAAGACAACRCATTGCACTCACTCTGCCCAGCAGCTCCTCACTGCCCAGGCTCCTCCAGCAGCACCCAGAGACAGTGCAGGGCACTGACAGTGACTCTGGGGCTGGTTTTCCACTCATCACATAATGCACGTTTWTGTTTCTAGACAAATACAACAATGTCAAGTCATTTTTCATGTTCAGCAGCTTCTTGCCGAGAAGGTCACGGGCCTGGAACAGCAGGGTGTGAASGGGGAGAAGCTGCTGCGTTCCTGCTGTTTACAGTTAAATATTGTGATAGAAAAGCATTGCGGTGCTGCRTGTGTCACCTCTCCTGCAGCAGATTCGCCCAGCTGTGTGGTTCTTACACCTTAACTAATCCTTTCCTGCAGCCCTTGCCATCTCCCTACCTCCTCACCCAGCTGCAGGAACAGCAGGGCCATGCCAGGCCACCCTACCCTGCCCACGACACCGAGGGAAGGGAGGACATCAGCACCTTGGAGTGAGAATGTTTTGGGGTGAGATCAGGGGATGAGCCAACAGCTCCACCACAGCCAGCCCACCCTGACTGCAGCTACTCCCTTGCTCCATAGCAGGCTTCTCTGAAGAGTCACCCTAAATTCTGTTCCACCTTCCAGCGTGCTCAGGACAATCATTTCCTGACAGCAGCTGCTAGATATGCAGCAGATACTAGCCTTGGACTGCTCTGAGATTCCTCCCAGCTTAAGGATGGGGGGTGGGTAAATTAAATTCCTGCTTGCTCAGGGGCCGAGCCCTGCCCTGCCCCGAGGTGCAGTGATAGTKTAAAGCAGGAAATTCTTCTTGTCCTCAGACCTGAGCCTGGAAAAGAGCAAGAGGCTGTGCCACAGGGCTGAGCTCGGGGGCTGCTCAGCCTCCCAGCAMCCTGTCAGGCGTCCTGGCCATGCCTTATCTCGCTGCTTGCCTCAGAAATGTTCCCTTCGCAGCTCCAGCACCCGGGAAGAGCACAGGGAGCTCACAACTGCGTTAGAGCAGGTTGCCTGTGGCTAACACCGACATCCAGGCGCTGCCCAGGCACACACGGGGGCTCTGGGCTGCCTGGTGCTGCTGTGCTCCTTGCCCGGGAGAAGGAGACTGCTCCGATCTGCAGGAGGGTGGCAGCAGGAGGAAACAAGACACTGCTGCTTGCAGCGAGTCCCACAGCTTTCTGGAGACAGTATTTTGTTGGGAATCCTAGACAGATGTGGTTGAAAGATGTGAACTATTTTTCCTTGCATTTTTTTCAATTTTTTTTTAATCCTCATCAAATGTTCTTGCAAACTCGAACCGTCAACACTTTCTCCTTGCATTTTCAACACTTGTTTTCAAATCCAGCAGTGAGCAGGAAGCTTTATGCTYCAGACCGGAGCCAGTTGAGTCTCTGTTTGCATTTTCCCACCCCAYTGCACAGCTGCTGGGGAGCAGCCTCAGGAGCGCTGCTGAAGGCACGAGCGGGCAGAAGGGCAGCCCTGCACCATTAGAGACCCGCACAAGTTTGGAGGGGCTGGACGAGAAAGGAACATTGTGCTTCCCTTCTGAGTCTCCAGGCCCCAGAGCACCTGGAAGGGGGTAACAACCTCAGGCGTAGAGACCCCTCATGCTGGGCTGTGGGGCCGGCCATGCTGCTGAGAGCACGTTTGGGGCTGTGCAGGCTCTGCTCTGCTGATCCCACACACCGGGGTGCAGCCAGACCCTGCACCCGTGGCAGAGCTGCAGCTCAGCCCGTTCTGTTTTGCACCACCCAGCAGGAGTGTGATCAGCCCCACAGCAGCCCCACAGCACTGTGACCCCGAGCACAGCCTGACCTGGCCCCTCACCATCACCCAGGGAGCTCRGGCTGACCCCACACCCGCTGGGGTCGCATCCAGACCCACGGTGCCCCACATCCCTGCCTGCGGGTCCCAGTCCTGCCAGGCTGGGTTTCTGCATTTGGAACGCCTTTTGGGGGATTATCCTTAATTTTTATCCAGTGTGCCTTGCTTCCCCTTCAAAAGCATCAAGAAAATTCAGCAGAGAGAGGAGTCGAAGGAGAAAAGGGGTGCAAAGGTTGCAGCAGAAGCAGCTGACAGGAATATCAAAATATCGCAATGCTAAAAGCTGCTTGTTTTGATGACGGGAAGGAAGGCTTTAGAGTTCCCACACCTCAGTACAAAACCTTTCTGCAATTCTGCTTCTACTGAAAAGAAAAAAAAAAAAAAAACAACAACCCCAAAACAAAAGCCTGTAAGCAATCATTTGTGTCTAATCTCACAAAATAATCAGAGCCAAATCTGTCCTCCTGCCTGGGACACAAAGCGCAATGCATCAGCCTATCTCCGGGCTAAGCAGACCATTACCAGATGCTCCCAAATAAACAGTACCTTTTTAAGCAAGTGGCTGGCAGMGCAGCGAGTCCCTTGCACATCTTGCTGCCGGGGTCGGATCAGTATTCCAGGAAAAAACAGCGGCGCGGGAGGCGGCAGAGGCTGCGCACGGGTCCTGAGCCGACTGCGGAACCCGGGCTGCTGTGTGAGCCAGCTGCGCTGCCTTGGCTCSGTTTTATAGCCTAGCCCAGACAGCYCAGCAGCACTGGGTGACCCAGTCAGGAGTCAGCACAGCAGCAGCACCCGTCCCCTTTCTGCCCACCCAGGAGGAAGGGGGTGACGTATAAACGCAGACAAAGGGGTGAGAGAGATTGAAAACCTTACCAGAAACGAAGCTTGGTGTCTGCCTGCAGAGGTGGATTCTTTTAAAAGAGGCTGAAAAAGCTTCGGGGACTTCCTCTGTTGCGGGAGGTTGGAACGGTGCAGATGAAAAGCAGATTTTCTGGGGGGGGACACAGACAGTGAAAAAGGTCAGGGAATCAATTCTGAGAAGAGAGATGGGCTTTGTTGGTTCCTCTGTTAATTTCCTTTCCTCTTCTATTTAAAGTAGCCTGGATCAAGAAAAGGACAAGAATTTCAAACAGAAAAGGTTACAGTAATCCCAACAAAGGCAGAAAATAGACCTCTCAAGGAAAGAGGAATGTAAATTCACCGGGGAACTACCCAGGCAGATGAGACTTTCCTGTTTTATTCTAGAGTCATGTGAATATATRTTTTTGGTGAGGCTGCAACAAAAGCTCTGGGGGGTGCATATCACTTTTGGAATATAAAATGTGCATGTCTCAGCACACAGATTTGGGGACAGCTCATATAACTGCGTGGAAAAAAAGGAATTTAAGAGGTTGGCAACACATCTGCCTTAGTTATGGGTATCACTGCAATACCTTACTACTCCATTTGCATTTGCAAAATCAAAAGCCAGACCTCGGGACTCTAGAATCCCCAAGGAAAGGTRGTTAATTAAAATAAAAGGCTTAAGTGTGCCTGCTCAGAGAAGATTTAGAAGCAGTTCTGAGGGTACTTTKTGCTAAAGAATGAGCCCATGAGACACCTGTGGGGGTTCGGTGGTGACCAAACGCTGCCCTGCCTCAGCTCTGCTGTAGTCCCAAGGAGAACAGAACGACTTCAGCTACACCACTTGTCCTCAGCCCTTGSAAGGTGCAGGAGGCAGCTGCCCCTCTGGAGAGAGAGAATTGGCTGATATTTATCGAGCTGCAGCTCAGCACAGCCTGTACCATCGTTMTCAAAGAGGGGAAGGCTCTGGGCAGACGGCCGTGCATATGGACTGCTGCCTTTCCAGCCCTGCTCCCGCTGGGAAGTAAAGGAGCCTCTGATTAGCAGCAGGCTGCCTGCCCACACTCCCCTCTCCCAGGAACCTTTCAGTGCTTTGCTCATGATCTGCAGAGGTTGCAGGATGAGCTTTTCCCTCCTGTATCTCTAGAGCCTACAGCCAGCAGCACAGGGAGTCCAAATGCCAGCTGGGTTTACCTGCCTAGGCTACTGCATCCTCTCAGATCATTAATGTGTTGAAAGGTAGTGCTCTAATTGACTGTGAAACGTTTTTGTAAGAGCATGACTGTCCTGCTGTCAAACCTGAGGACACGTGCCTGCAAGTCTTGTGTTTTTTGGACTAAAAATCAGCTCCAGCTCGGGCAGTGTAGAACTTTAACTGAGTGAGTCCCCTTGTCTTGTAATGCTGGTGAGTTCACAGTGCTTGGGTGGATCTTTAGGAAGCAACTGAGCACAGGCAGAGCTGGTGCCAAAGGTGTCTGGTTTGTCTTCTGTTTGGGGAGAAGTCAAAGGGCAGAACATGGCCAACAGGAAAAACTTAGCTAACTATGTGCAAAATGGCTACTCTATGTTAAATATCTAATTAATTTAATTTTAATATCGAACATGGGCAATGTCACTGCTGCTCATGTGTAAAAGCAGCACTTTGACTCAAGCAGTTCAACAYGATCAAGGTGTCAGCAAGCTCTAAACCTGTCCCTCTCCCTGGCAGCCCGAGTCCAACCACCTGGCTCAGGAAAGTCCCAAAGGCTGCTTGCCAGGGCAAGAAACTTCTGTGCAGAGCACAAAATTCTGCACTTTGTCTGGAAACTGTTGTACAGCCAGATTGAGGGATGCCACACTTCTCTGTGGGTTTGATGTGTCGTTCCTATGACACTCAGATGCTGGTGCTGTCAGCATCAGGTCACCTTCTGCATTCCCCAGCCTCTGTGTGAGCAGGCTGTGATCAGGAGTTTCTGGCACTGCCATCACAGCCACCAGCCTAAAGGGCTTGGCAATTAAGACCATCCTCCCTGGACTGGCCATGCAGACTCCTAGAACTGCTGCAGCTGAAATTTCCCTTTTTCATTAACACTGCCCGCTTCAGCCTGGCCCCATGCGAGGAGTCTGGGCTCCCACACTGTTTTCCCTCTAAGCTGTGTTCCCCAGCTGTTGCAGTTTAATATCCTCTCAGCTGCTCCAGCTGGTGTCCAATCTAAAGTATCCCCTTCCACCTCTCACCACCCTGGGCAGGCCTCTCCTCCCAGGGTACAGGCTGTGCTGTGCCAACACCAAAATCTCCTCCTCCTCCCTGCCGGCAGCAGCTCACACCATGTTTTACACCCAGCACACCATCCCTGGCTGGCTTCACCAGCCCATGGAGAGCTCAGCAGTGAGGATGGGCTGGGATGCTGGGCTGGGGCTGGGCCATSCCTTGGCTGTGCGGTGCCAGAATGGTCATAAATGCCAGTGGTACCCGCTGTGGCATCCCTGGCCCCTCGCCCCCTCATCCCCGCTGYGTCCCGAGCTGCTGCAGACCAGGCTGTGAATCGGAGCTTTCCCTCCCACCGCAGCCRGGGAAGAACGTCACACGCGTGTGCTCACCCCCGCACACGAGCCAGCGTGGGATGCGTCCCTGAGGCAGCCCGGGGGAGGAGGCTGYGAGCACGAGGAGCGCTGCTGCTTCCCTGGCCATTGCCCAGAGCTGGCCTACCACAGGCTGCTGTCCTGCACCTCGGTCCCTTCCCATCCCATTCCATCCCATCCCGTGGGATGACAGTGAGTGGGATGCTGCTGCTTTGCGTCACTGGGAGAGAGAGGGCAGGATGTGGGAGCTGCGAGGCGTGCTGCTGGGCCAGGGCCTGTCCTGCCATGGCTGCCTTCCTCAACCTGCCCTGCAGAGGCTGAGGGCCCCGGTCTTCCTCCTCTTCCCTCACATCTCACAGGGCCTGACGGGCTCCTTGGGATCGGGAGAGCAAATGCCTGGGTGCAGGGCACTGCACACCTTTCCCACAGGCATTCACATCCAGTACAAATCCGGCACACAGCACTGGTGAGGAACTGGAGCGGCTCCCACACAGCTGAGGAGCACCAGCCTGGGTGGTACCGGTGGCCAAGGCCCCAGGGTGGCACTGGTCCCCAAAGCCCCAGGGTGAGCCTGGAAGGGCCATTGGGCTCTGGGTTTGGATGGATGAACTCAGCACATGTCTGTGCCTGACACTGCGTGCAGCCACATTTCCTGTCCCAGGGCAATGACTGCAGCCTGACCTCCCTAAGGGACACATGGAGAGGCCACATGGAGAGGCCACTCTTGTCCCCACAGGGTCCCCCAGCCAGMGCTGGGATTCCCAGAAACGCTGTCCCCCAGCGCAGTCTGAGGGAGCTGTCCTTTCCCATGGCTCCGYGTGACTCCAGGCGTGACTGCAGCCGTGACACTCCCAGCCAGSGCCCAGGGGTGGCCCTTGAGGAGAGGACATTCCCTCTTGGACCAGCCCTGACGGCAGCCATGAGTCACCACCTGCTGTGTGGCCAATCCCCCGCTCACATGGAATTTTTCCCAAGCATTCCCCCAGGCTRACCCACTCCTCTTTCTGCTTTGCGTGCACAAGGCCAAAACTGAACCCTTAAAGGKGAATCGTCTTCAATTTGCTGTCGTAGCTGCTTGGTGAGCCTGCTCTTCTCCGAAATGATGCTCTGGACACATTGGCATGTCCGTCAGAAGTTCCAGCTTCATGCAATTCCTACACCCAAACATGCAACCCACACCGCTTTCCCATACTTTCAGGTGTTTCCTAWTAATTTATGCAGCTGCAATATCAGTGGACTTCTGTAATTTCGTTTGGAGGGAGTTGTTGGGTTTTTCTTTGCTTCAACCCCAACGTTTTGGGCTGCCTACTTCTGTTACTACTGGGAAGAAAATATTGCATCTTCTGTCAAAGGAAGATTTTTTTTGGCCAAATGGATGTTTTTTTTTTCCTCTCCTGGTTTGGATTTCCTAATGAAATCAGTGGTTGGGTGTTTTTTTGGTTTTTTTTGTGGGTCTTCTGTTTGTTTTTTGTTTTTTTGGGTTTTTTTTTGTGTCTGTCTATTGTTCTTGTTTATGTGCATCACACCACAGAAAACCCATTGTTTGAGTAACTTGTCTTCCAATTTCCCAAATCTGTTTCATTCCCCCATTTTGATTAACAGCCCCTCAAACATTTCCTGCTAATCACTAAGACACATATGAATAACACTGGACCACAAACCAAGTCAACATATRGCTGTTCCCTGATGCTTTCTCAATACTAAAACCACTTCAAAATGTCTCATTTAGCCACTTTCAGTCCATTCAGTATGGATTTTATGACACTTTAAGCCAAATATTGATAGCACATCATATTAACTTACAAATCTATTTCACCAACGTAACTCCCTCATAAAAAGACTATTAGGCTCATTAGAAAAGGTCTATTTTTCCATTAAATCATGTCAGCTGGTATCAATGACATCACCACCTTTTCCAATAGGAAATTGGAATCATTGTCCCCGTTAATGATGCTCYTGCACTAATTAACAGGTTACCAGCTCCTGACCGTGCAGCTCAGCCCCTCCTAGGGACCCACATTCACTATGGAGAATCATTAAGACCTCCAAAAGACCTCCAAGATCAAGTCCAGCCTTTCACTAGGCACCTCCATCCCAACTAAACCACAGCTCTGAGTACCACATCCAGTCATTTCTTGGACACCTCCAGTGATGGTGACTTCATCACTTCCCTGAGCGAGCCTGTGATCCTTAACCACCCTTGCAGTGAAGAAATTCTTCCTGATGTCCAACCTGGACCATTAAAAAGTGCACCAGCCGAAGCCATGGGCTTCCAGCTTCTCCAGGAGAATGCTGTGAGGAAAATCAGAAAGCATGTTTTCCTTTCAGTCTCCTTTTATTTCAAAATGTGCAAAGAAGGGCCGCTCTTTATCCTGAGAGCTCTTTGGCTTATTCCTCTAACAATCTTTGTGCAATCCAGTTGCACTCAGCTGATTTAGGACTGTGTGGATCACCCTCAGGGCTGCACAGCCCCAGGCAGGGGGGCACTCACTGTCTTTGCAATGGACACAGAGCTGCTATTTATTTAAATACACAGCGATTTCAATGTGTTCCTTCCTGCTTTTCCCGAGTTTTTGCCCTTACTGCCGATGCTGGCTGGAAATCCCCCGTTGAGCCCCGAGCTGTGACGGGCGGKGGTGGGACAGCTCGGAGTGACCCTGGGGGCCCATCGATCACTGCTTACACACCTCTCACCCGTGGGCCGATTGCTTCACCCTAAGGTATAGAAGAGGAGGAGAAGGCTTAAAGGGAGGCAGGAAGAGTGTTGATGCGTCAGAAATTAAGATGTC